CGTTGCCACAGTACCCCCACTACCCTTGCCCGCCCTCCCCCTTCCCCTCCCGCCTCTACCCCGCTGCCCGGCCCAGCCGCAATCCGACAAGCCAAATCACATTGACATTTTTATCATTTGTTGAAAATCTTTTGAAATTGTTATAAAACAGCCAGACGACGAGACAACAACAACAACAACAGCAACAAAAATTGTTTTATGTATTTTCAGTATTTAGTTGTCGATGTTGTTGTTGTTGTTGTTGTTGTTGCTACAATTTCTGTCGTTGTTTTCAGTTCATTCTCATTTTGAAGCAAAGCGCGACAATCTTGCCATCAGATCAGCTGATAAGCGCGAGCTGTACAAATCATACAACAACAACAACAACAACAGCAACAACAACACAGCTATCTACACAACGGACAGCTGTTCAAGTTTGTTGTTGTTGCTGGTGTTTTAGCTTTTTTTTTTGTTACTCTCGGCTTGTCTCTCAAAATGACTACAAAACATTATCGCCATTTGGGCATCAAATTTCGAGCTTATTTCGATTGCATTTGGCGATTAGAGCCACGTTTCCAACCAAGAAACTGAAAACCTTGATAACGTGGGGTTTCGCTGACGGGAGAGAGGAGGAGGGGAGGGGAAAGGGGGGGGGAAAATTGATCACATTGGCAAATGGATCTCGATAAATTCCATTCCATTTAGTCAGGCGTGTGTACTATAGACACGTATTCATATCTCTTCTTATTGGATTTATTTATGTGCTTATAGATTTATATATGGAATATATATATATGTGTATATGTCGGTAATGGGGCGCAGGAGTCAAGATACGTGGCAGCACTCGTGCATTCCGAATGACACATTCAAAAATTATTTAACAATGATGACACTTTCCAAGCAAATCATTATTATATTATTATTATTATAATCAATATTACATAATGTAATTATTACAACAAACTTGATCAACTAGATGTTTCAAGAAATCATAATAATATCATATCATATATATCAGATCAAATTGTTAGATAATCTAACGAGATCTCAATCAAAGCATTTATACCTAGATCTTTGGGAAATCATAATGATATACTGTCATATACATATATCATATCAAATTGATACTCTAACGATATCTTAACATAAGCATTCTTAACGAAATCTTTAAGATATCATAATGATATCCTATAGGATATAGATCATATAAAATTGTTAGATTATCAAGCAAACTTTCTATTAGCATTCTTTTCAAGATTGAAAGATCTTAACCGGGTTCCTAAGAAATCATATTGATATCACACCATATATATCACATCAAATTGTAAGCAACTCTAAGAAAATCAAAGGAAATGCCCTACAAGATCTTAAGGAAATCGTAATCTGAAAACCCTTTCATTCAATTCTAATATCAGATTATATAATATAATAAATTTAGCAAAAAGAATTTTACTTTATTCTTGTCATTTAATATACAAGAAACCTATTTCCATGAAAATTTTTAAAAAATAAATTTAAGATTTGTCAATTCTCAGACTTCTCCAACACAACAATAAAAAATTTGACCACATTTTCTCTTTAGCATATGCATCACTGGAAAGTTGTGTCTTTTATGTTCTTAAGATATCTAGACCTTTCCAACAATACAATCAACAATCTGGCCACATTATCCGCTTAGCATATCCATCACTGGCAAGTTGTGTATTTTATGTTCTTACTTGTGGATATATGAAGAGTATAAACACATGAAACTAAGATATCTAAGCCCTTACCAACACTACAATCAACAATCTGGCCACACTATCGGCTTTATGTTCTTGCTTGTGAATAATCTCCTTTTGTGTTCCTGTTTCATTTTGTTGTTGTTTCGTTTCGTTTCGTTTGGTTTTCTAAATATGGTATTAAAAGCAAGTGCTTTTTGTTAGTTGAGTTCGATAAACGAGCGACACGATATCGCAATTGTTTATGGGCGGGCGGCTGTGACTCAAGACTCAAGCGTTCCCAAATGCCCCCCCCCTCCCCTCCCTCTTCCCATCCACTAACCCCTTCCCCTTGTGTTATTATCGCAGTTGATATGCAAATGCGCCGCTGTCCGAAAGGCAACAGAAACAACAACAAAAATTGAACTTAATACGAGTACACAAAACGAAAAACAACATTTTGTAATTTGTATTGCAAGTTGTTGTTGTTGTTGTTGTTGTTGTTGTTGTTATTTATCTGCTGATATTTCCTGGTGCGATTTCACAAATATAAAAAACAACAGCAACAAAAACAATATACAACAGCATCAACAACAAAAGCTTATCGCGCTTTTTAAACACAATGTCAAAATGACCAAAGCTCGTATCGAGCTTATCTGCCATTTGCCCTCATCCCCCCCCTCCCTCTCTCTCTATCCCTCTCTCTCTGTCGCTCTCGCATTTGCCAATATGATGCGCGCAATTGTCGAACTTGTAACGGTTCATCATCATGATGATCATCATCGTCATCATCGTTAGCTGCAGCTGCTGTGGCCACACTGGCCAGCCACAGGGTGGCCTTGGTTATTGGCTATCTAGCGCAACCTGAGCTTTGGCTTTATCAACGCCAGCAACTGCAATTGCAAACTGCAAATACATGTGTACATAGATATGCACACACACACATGCATACATATATATATATATGTATATGGTTATCAGTCGAAAAAAAAAAGCGCCGCATGACACGTAGCCAGCGCGATTGCTGACGAGCTCGCGTTGCGTCGTGTTTTGTTGTGAAGCCCGGAGTTCTACTTGGAAAATTGAAAATTGTCACCCGCATGCTCAACGTTGTGCTGGTCGTGTCTGGGCGGGGGGGGGGCGGGGGGTAGGTTGCCTTTTCTTTATTTTTCGGGCGCAGATAGCAGACAGCACAACAACAGCTGGCAATTAACATAAAATTAGTGATAAAGCGTAATTAAAATATATATAAAAAATAAAAAAGAAGTAATGTTTATCTATTTCGTTGGCGACCTGCAGAACAGCGTAGCACAGTGTCACGATTACCAACACTGCGAGAGAGGCGGGGGGGCGGCAGCGTTGCCATATCGCAAAATGAAACTTATGTAAAGCTAACGGCAACAACAACAACAACAACAACAGCAGCAGCGGCAACGACGACGACTTTTGCACAGTTTTCGTTTGCTGCTGCTGCAGTTGTGATAAAAGTTTATCGACTGAGCGCTTTCAAGCTACACAAAAATGTCAAGCGACAACAGAAACAACAACAACAACAGTTAGCAATAAGAACAGCAGCGCTAAAGATAAGTATGCAAAGCGAGCTGAGCGAGAGAGAGGGAGAGCTAGGGCTAGCCTGCGATAATGTGCTAGAAGAAAGCAAACGGCGCAGGTGCAGCAACAACAACAACAGCAACAACAGCAACAGCAACAACAACAACAGCTGCATAGATAAGCGCGTTAATTTATCGTAATTGTAGCCGCTGCTCACTTTGGCTGTTATCCAGTGTGTACACACACACACACACACACATGCATATGATATAAATATACATGCATATGTAACATGTTGTTTTACAGTGCACACACATATGCCTCGAATCCTTCTACTGTTAAACAGTGTGCACCCATTTAAATGAGAGCACATTCTGTACAAGCTGTTGCTAACCAGTGTGTGCAAGGAGAAAAATCTCAATTAACATATATTAAAACTTATTTACATTAATTCAATGTCTTTCAAAATGTTTCATATGTTGATTCCAAAAGAAAATAAATGTTGAAACACTTCTAATTTGGTTTAAAGAAATCAAAAATTGACAACTTTTTCTTTTTCATCTGTAATGCAAATTATAAATATTATTTTTGTAGTCAACAGATCATCCAAATAATGGAGAAGACATTCTTCTCAAATAGGGTTTACCAAAAGGGTTTACTAAGGGAATTGTTCATGCAATCAAGCTCAAATGATTAATCAATGATGTAAAAATAATTATTATAATTCTTCAATATGTCTTCTCGCGATAAGAAGCAGAGTGTGTACACACGTAAATATACGAACTCTTTTATTGATGCGTGAATAAATAATATAAATGCAGCTGCTATTTCCAGTGTGTACATATGTAGATGTCCGATCTCTTTTCTAAGCTTGTAAGCATATTCTATTAATGTGTGTGTGTTCACATCAGCATAAATGCTGCGGCTATTGTTATCCAGTGTGTACACACATAAATACACGATCTCTATTTTTAACTCTTAAGAATATTCTTTAAATGCTTTTAAACCCTATAAACACACATGCATAAATAATCCATTTTTTTGTTTGCTGCCCGTTATCCAGTGTCTACACACTTGCATTTCGTTTACAGCGACTGCGGTGATATCATTGCAATAACAACAAAATAAAAAAAAATAAATAAAATGAAATGAAATGAAAAAAAAAAAAAGTAGAAACAAATCCAACTAAACCTGAACCGAAACGTGCTCGCGATAAGGAGTCCAACTGCGGAGCCGTCAGCGATTAGCAAACTTTTGGCTCGTTCAGGTGGGGCACGTATTATCGATTCCGAAATGCATTCATTGGTTAACCGACTGCTCATGGCTCGTATATCAAATGGCAAACAACGAAATGTAATTAGTTTAATAATCATATTAGGGTGTGTTCAGGCTCTGCACCCTTCCCCCCTGCCCCCTTCCCCCCTGCCTAGACGTTGTGTCTTGAACTGTGTGTGAACAAAGAAGTTTCATTTAAATAAAGTCGACGGGCAAAACAAGCTGAAATCTAGTTGACAATCGCATAGTTTTTTTTTTATTATTATATATGTACATACATACTTTTTTTTTACTTTTTTTTCAGTCAAGTTGTGGGAGGGGGGCGTGGGGGTTGGCGCGTGTTAAGCCCCCCCGCAAGCAGTTCGTTCACATGTTTTATGCGAGCAATGGAAAACCCCAAAAAATACATTACGAGCTGACAAAGCTATTTTCGTAGCAGCAGGTGTAAATTGTGGGCTACCTGGCAGGTGGGGTGGGTGGGGTCGTACGACTCACCTTTATTCAACGGCTTTGGATTCGACTGTTTGCGTCGTGACATTGTTTGGTACCAATGCAAAGTGGGGGGCCCCAATGTGGAGAGCTGCGTCCGGAGCGCGGCGTCTACATCAAATCCGTGTTCCGTGCCGACATTCACATTTACCGGCGGACAAGAAATCTCCAATCCGCGTGGAATTCAAAAATACACACACACACACAGACACACACACACGAGCGCGCGCGAACACGTACACGTACACGTACACGTTTTAACACGTTTGAACACGTTTTTCAATTGGCAATTGCAATTCGCATGCAGTTATCAATGATTTTATTTATTTTTGTTGTTATTTGTAAATTATAATTTGTATTTAATTATAGATGTGATTTGCATTGACCTTTTAGCGTGCATATTAATAATTAATTAATTTTTAACGAGGCGCGCGACGATCGCGAGTTCACGTAACGGTATCGCACTGAGAATCTGATTGGCAACGCAATTGACAATTGTCGTATTAAATCCAATCAGTTGATGTTTCTTATTGGCATTACAATTGTTGCTTAAAGTTGTTCTCGTTGTTCTCGTTGTTGTTGTTATTTTGGTTGCTGTTGTCGCGTGTTGCGTCGGCGTCGGCGTTGCGTGGGCGTGCGGCGATCGACGTCCGAACAGTGCAAAGTCTTGCTCACAACTGAACTGCTGCTGCTGCCGTCGTCGTCGACGTTGTCGTCGTCGCAGTCGTCGTCGCCGTCGCCGTCGCTGCGCTGCTTCAACTGGCGAAAGCTCTCAAGCAGCGGGCAGCATAGGAACCGGTGGCGTCTCTCGCAACGTTCGCTCCGCGTTTTTTTTTTTGGGTTGCGCGCGCACTCTCTCACAGCTTTTCCATTTTGTTTTTACTTTATTTTTCATTGCGACGCACGTTTTTGCCGTCTGTTTCGCAGCGTGATAAGAATCAAAACAAAAAGCCGAAATACTACGCACATTTCACACACCACACGCAGCCAATTGTTGCTGCCGCTCGCTTGCATTTCGTTAAATTAACACTTTGCAGCTGCTGCTCGACACTTTTATGCAACATGCACAGCTTTTTTACTAATAAATACGTTATTTAATACACATTTTAATGCAAAACCGGCGTGTAATGCACGTTTTACAAAGCGCGACGAATTCAACTGCACCGATTCGCTGCGCCACAACCTCCGTTGGCTGTGCTCACGAAGTATCGTTTGCTTTAAATATCGATAGACGCATTCGCGGCGATTGGCAACGCTGAGCATACGAGTTGGCAACATATGTTGGATTAATTAAAACTGGCACATACTTTTGAGCGGCATTTGTAAAATATCGTATTAAAAGTGGCACATACTTTTGGGCGGCATATGAAAAGACTTATTGGAAAGTGCTAATAATGCTAATTGGATCGTCAACTGTGCTAATTGGCAAATGCAACCAAAAATCTGAAAGAAATCATTTTTTTAGCTTTTTTAAGAGCAGTAAAAGTTTTCAAATGTTTTTCAATAATAAAAATGTCTTGAACGACAAGAAAATAATTAGAAAAATTAAAAATAAATATTTTACAAATTCGATTTTTGAATTAAGGACTTTTCTTATAAGGATTGTATTCTTATTAGACCTATTATATATTATACTGCGTAAGATTGATGTATTGGAGGAGTTCTCGCTTAGCTGCCCATCTACAGGGTATTTGCAGTCGTGCAGACGCGCACGCCTGACTACATTTTATTTATTTGAATACGCTTGTTTTTTTTAGTTTCTTTTCGGGCGGTTTTTTGTCTTCTAATTTGCACCTATTGCATTTTAATGGAAATTTTTGGTGGCCGGCGCTTTGCATTGGACGCCCATAGATTTGAGAAATGGCGACAGCGCCGGAAATGAAATGCTTCCTCTTGAACGCGGCATAAAAAAAGGGACATTTACCAAAAGTGGGCGTGGGCGTGGGCGTGGGCGTGGCACCAGTTATGCATTGGGCAATAAATATGAAGAAAATGTGCGGCATAATCCGCGCTAACATATGGCCCAGCTGATTAGCCGACGGCGTTTAGCATAACTCCAGCTGCCTGACCCCCAGTCTCCCCCCTCCCGACCCCTCCCCTCTAACCAATCACCCCCTCCCACGTCTTTAATGAAGTATTCGGCACGTTGGCCTTCGGCGCGTTCATTCGCCTGGCTATTATTTTGTTTTTTTTTCGGGCCGCGTCAATGCAATTCGACATTCGCCCAAAAACCTATAAATATCAGGCGATCCGTAAGTATCTGTATCTGTATCTGTATTTGTATCTGTAGCTGTGCCTGTATCTGTGTCTCCTTCAGACAATGTATCCGTAGCTGTAACAAAAAAATTTATCTATAGGCTGTAGCTGTGCCTCCTACAGAATGTATCTGTATCTGTCTCTGTATCTGTATCTGAGGCTGTACTGACAATGTATCTATGTATCCTTCAGAACATGTACATATCTATAGCTCAGGCTGTGTCTGTGCCTCTATATATATAAAGATATATATATATCTGTATCTATTCTCTATCTGTATCTGTGTATCCTTCAGACAATGTATCTGTAACTTTAACAACAAATGTATCTGTATCTGTATATGTACCTTTATCTTTACCTATTTATGCATCTGTATCTGTATCTGTATCTGTATCTGTATCTGTATCTGTATCTGTATCTGTATTTTCATCTGCATTTGTATCTTTTTCAGTATCTGTATCTTTAGCTGTACTGGCAATGTATCTGTGTATCCTTCAGATCATATATCTGTATATGTATCTGTGCTGGCAATGTATCTGTGTATTCTTCAGACCTTGTATCTGCAGACTTAAACATTTTTAACATAAAATGTATCTGTATGTCAGATTTAAGCTGCAAATGTATATGTACATACATTTGTATGTATCTATATTGTCAAATGTATCTGTATCTTTATATGTCAATGTATCTGTAGCTAACGCTGTATGTGGACTTGCGCTGCTACCGCATTTGTATCTGTATCTCAATCTAGATTTGTACCTGCATCTCTGTATGCAACTGTTTCTGTATCTGTAGCTGTATCTCTATATGTAGCTGTATCTATATCTGTATCTATATCTGTATCTGTATCTGTATCTGGTCAGCCGTAAACATAGTGCATTACACTCTCGCGGCCAAAACGAGCTGCGGCCACTTCCAGGTCAAGCAACTTCCTCAGTTCCGAGGTTACCCGCTGCTGCCGTTGCTGCCGCTGCTGCTGCTGCTGCTGCTGCTGCTGCGACGGGGCCATAACTGAATAATTGTATCGCATACGTGACGATATCATTGACCCAAGGGTGCAGTTACCTTGTGCTCCTGTCACTCATTTATATCGTTTCGCATGCCCCGTTCTCTTTATGCGAATGGCGTATATTGGTTCTGGTAGGTTCTATAGCTCTTATATTGCTCGAAATATGAACTGGGCTTGGAAATCGATAATTATCGATTGGTTGAGATGATGGTTTGCATTTAATAAGTAAAATAAATGTGATTTGTGTGGTAAGAGAATCGATATGCCTAACTGGACGTCTCTAGCTCGTATGGACTGAAAGATATGCAGAAAGGAGCCGTAGTTCGATATCGATATTTATCGATTTTTGAAGAGATGTTGTTTTATGTAATAAAAAAGTAAAATAATTGTGATTTGTGTGCTATGAGAGTCTATATGCCGCATGGGGCGGCTCTAGCTTTTATAAACTGAAAGATATGCAGAAAAAAAAGGATAATTCGATATATATCGATATCGATATTTATCGTTTTTGGGGCCATGCAGCTAAAATACATATAAAAATGTTTTTTTTTAGTATCCTAAGCCCTTTTAATGGGTATTACTTGTGCCCAAGCCCCGGCCAAGACCTGCCCAGCTTTTTCGAGCTGCTTTCCAATCGGACAGCCTGGAGGGTCCAATAACAATGTGACACGCCCCCTAAGGCGCTTTTCAAGCCTTGTAAATATATAGTTTAAACATCCTTAGAGTTAAGGCACAGTTAGTTGGCCTCTGGCCTGCCACTCGAAGGCTCAAAGCTTGCGCCCGCAAAGTTCGCTCCTTTTGTTCGTTCAAGTCACAGTTTGGAGGTCATTGCTTCAGGCTTACAGTTTGAGCGGCACAAGATGTTTGATCAGCTGCGAGCAGCTGTGCACAGCGTATCGCGCAGTCGTTCATAGCCGTTTGCCCGCTTCTGACTGGTTTTTTTGTTTGTTTTCGAAAATGTGTGTTTCGCTTGGAGTACATTGATCTGCCGCCTCTCCAGCCCTGGTACGCACACACACCCGTACTGCTTTTAACCTTGTTTGCCAGACAGCTATTGCAACCCCCCCCACCCCCCCGCCTCCCCTGCCTCATCTTCCCCCCGCGTGAGCAACACACACTCTCGCTGCCACGCCCCGTTATGATGATCGCGAATCAGATGAGCTCTCGATCAGCCCGCGATGCATAAATTAAAAGTGCTGATGAAATTTGCCAGACGGCTCGCATAAGCGGCCAAAAGTGCAGCAACAACAACAACAACAGCAAATCTGGCCAAAAGAGATTATAAACGAATATCAAGACAGTTGGCAAAAGTGCCAAAAAAAGGGTTAAAAAAAAAAGAAAACAGAACTAAAATTATGCAGTTATTTTTATACGCCTCGCTCTTGTTGTTGCTGCTGTTGTTGTTGCTGTTGTTGTTGTTGTTGTTGTTGCCTTTACAAGGCGCTCGCAACGCCCACCAAAAGCTGTTCGCGGCCCAAAGTCCAATTGGCCTGGCGCCCTGCCTTTGGGGCCTATTTGTAGAACAACAACAACCAAAAAAGTGAATAGCAATGCATTAGTAAAAGTTGTTATTGTTGTTGTTGTTGCTCTCAGCAGCAGCTGCTAATTAGGCGCGCCTGAGTGTGTGTGTGTGTGTGTGTGTGTGTATGTGTGTGTGCGCTGGCTGCCATTGCGGTAGGTTCATGCTCGGCGCACGCTGCGTATGCTCAATGTTTAATATACGTATACGTATTATTTATATATATGTATATATATATTTATATTTATATAGACACCGCCCGCATATATCACGCATACGACCCGTGTGGCCCTGACGGCGCTTCCTTCACACAATTCGCTTATCAGCGAGAGCCAATTTTTTTAAATAATCTTCGGCTCAGCTATTTATAGCTGCATGCGACACCAGTCAGCAAATATGCTCGACTAGCAGATGCCCTGTAAACAGATTGTGGAGTCCAAGCGCAGCAGATGCTCTGTAGACACTTTTAAAGTCTTTTCACATGCCCAACAAATTGTGGCTAGCTTAATTTGAGCTTTTTTTTTCTAAAACAAAATTGAACAAATGCGTTTTTCTATCGATATTTATCGATTTGTGGGCAACGATGACATATGAAAACCGATATTTATCGATTTGTGGAAAATGTGCGAATTTTGAACTCAAACTCATTGCATTATAAATTAAATCTGCTCAAATTCGTTTGGTCTTTGCCTTAAAAATATATATATGAAAATCGATATTTATCGATTTTGGAAAACGAGCGGATTTTGAACTCAAATAAATCGCAGCTGTGTGCAAGCAGTTATTTATAAATAAAATCTGCTCAAATTCGTTTCTACTTAACCTACAAAATAATATATATTTGAAAATCGATATTTATCGATGTGTGCGCTATCGCTATTAAGCAACAAATTGTATTGTTTCTCGCTTTTCGTTCTTCTTCGTCTTCCCCAATTCTTCTTTCTTCGTTCTGCTTTAACTTTCGTCTTTCTTCGTTTCGTAACACTTAAAAAATAAATTTATCGACTTGGCAGTGGGACAAAAGTCATGATCGCAAATAAGCTGTAAATGCATAAAATATGCCAGATATATGTACGAGTCTTTAAAATGACAAAAGTAAATGTTTTGCAAGTTTTTAGCTTGGCAAAAATATTGTTTTTGTCTAAGTAAAGTGTGTCTAAAGAGTCCATTTTGTACTTTGTTTAAAAGAAATAGCAGTGAAAATGGAAAAGCTTTCGTTATACGATTTCCCACTTGCCCAATTTTCCGACTCCAATTCCCTTTAGCTATATTTTAACTACTTTAAGTATGAAATGCTTTGCTTCGCTTGAACAGCAAAAGATTTCAAGTTTGGCAGCTCGAAAGCTTGATTAGGTTGTATCAGTTGCGTATCAGTTGCCGCTGCCACTTGTTGCATGCCACTTGAGCTGCCTCTCAAGAGGCGGGGGGAGGGGCTGCCGCTAATCTATAGGCCTATATCTGACTGCGATCTTTAGCCAATGCGTGACATCATTCCAAAGTTCAAATCAATACATTTTGCCAGCAAAGCTCAGTTGCTGTTGTTGCAATTGTTGTTGTTTTTGTTGTTGTTGTTGCTGTTGTTGCTGTTGTTGTTGGTGATATTGCGACCGGCCTGCTTTACATTTTTTACACTCATCGTCGGGTCTCAGGGTCTGGGGCTGGTTCAATGTATTTTGAATTTTTTGCTCATTGACCTTTTCGCGCAATTTGTTGCTTGTCGTTGTTTGTTTTGTTGTTTATTGCTCCTCTTGTTGTTGTTGTTGTTGCTGTTGTTGTTGTCATTGCAATTGTTGCTTCCTCGTCCTTGCCAAGTGCCAACGCCTCGCGGCGCATGTTAATCGGGCGAAAAATTTGGTCTTGGACCTGGGTATTGCCTTTCAAGTCGAAATATTTAGGTACATTTTCGTACTATCTCTCTCTCTCGCTCCCTCTCCCTCTCTGTCTCGCTGGCTTTCGGATCATCCGATCGATTTATGGCCCCCAAAATCACAACACACGATGCATAATTTGCAAAAATATGTTAATTAGTTTTTGTTTTGCCTTTTTTTCTTTCATTAAACTCTGCCTCTTCTACGCTTTAATTATAAACCGTATTATTCCACGCTATGCGCACTCTTTCCAAAATACTCGTATCGTAAAACAGATATACATATATATCATCGTATCTTTTCTACCCTGTAATTATCAAAATGATAAGCAAACACATACCTTGAACAGCTACGCTCTTGGGTCACAAGATCAGAGGTCTTAGGTCGAAGTTGATTTGTTTTCAAGCTCAAAGGCCACAAAAAATGTATAAAGCGAAAATGGATAATTAAATACAATTATCGATATACACGTTGTCTCTGGCTAGACGTTGTGACGTCAGAGATATATGCAAATATGCCTAGGTGGTATAATTAAATGCAATTATCGATAGTCATGCAGTTGTTGTGACGTCAGAGATATATGCAAATCTATATGAAAATAAGGTGGCAACGCTTGTTGTCAACGTTTAGTGTGAATGGCAATGGAATGACAATAGCTGAAGCAAAAATTAACTGACGAAAATGAAAATGCGCTTTAAGTGAAAATAAATCAAAACCAGCAAATATTGTTCACGACAATAGTTATATAATTTATGAGTGTGCAAATCCAGACAACAGATCCGCTAGCAGGGTATCTCCGAGTGGACCAAAATGCCGGCGACTTGCTTATATTTGTTAATGGAAACGCGTCGCGAGCTGCTAAAAATAAATAAATAATAAATAGGCGACTAAATGTTGCTCGTGCTGCGATCAACAACAACAACAATAACAATAATCAGAGAAAATGTGCTAAATTGTTGCTCAGCTGCGATCTCTGCTCTGCTTCGAGCTGTGCACGTCCGCCGACCATGCACAAAAACCATTTTCATGCCCACTGTACATGGTCCGGAGCGTAGGGGCATGCCCACTGTACATGGCCCGGGCGCAGGGGAGAAGGGCTTTGCCAGCTTGACCGAGCCACAATTGAATTTGAATCTAACATTTGACTCTTTCTAGTCATCGCTGCCTCTTGCCATAAATATGTAAATGTTAAAGTTATTGGTCTGAAATCATATTCGTCGGACTTTCGAAGCAGTTCGCTCGGACAAGGCCGCATTTGCGTCACATTCTGCATGGAATTTACCTAGAAATCCATTTAAACAAGACTTTAGATGGGCGTAGACCTGTTTTTGGGAGCACCCAAAATCTACAAAGCCAACAAAAATCTCTTTCATTGATCTGCAAGCCGGAACATGCTTAAATGACTGTTGCTGGCAACTACAGTAAAACCTGCCTATAACAAACATAACTTAAGGAGGGAAAAGTTTGTTATTGATGTTAGAAAATATGAAATTAATTACAATACTAAATACTATAATTTCTTTAATCGAAAGGAATGAAGAGAATTTTTGAAAAACTGCAATCCTAGATTTCAATACACACCCAGAAAGTTTTCTATATTTCCATTATAGATAAATTCGTTAACATTATACCTAACCTTAAGAACATTTATTATAATCTATAGCTTTCTAGGATTCAAGGTTTCAAGCTAGTTTAAGCTTTAAATAAGGTGAGCCTTTTCTTGAATTTTAAAATCTTTTATTTGCATAAGATTGAAGGACTTTGTCTAGTTCATTTCTAAAGACATTTAGAACAAAGTGACATCAAGCACGAAGTATACTTAGTTCTAGAACTTTGAGCTCATTCATGCTTAAAAATTTATAGAAATTTTCAAGCAAAAGTTTGTCTAGACGTAATCTATCTGACTAAAAATAGTAAATGGAGGTCAGAACCCTCGGCTAGATCGTACGCCATAAATCTAAATAATTGCTTCCTATTTTTATTTCTATTTTCTCTCTCCCTCAAGTCTTGTTCTTGAATAAGAACTCTTTATTTTGGGCTGAAATTCGATTTGGCGGGAATTGCGAGCGGACTCAATCCGACCACTCAATCGATGCGTGCGTGCGAATAATCAGTTCAAGCTGTTTGCAGCGATAACGCGACAACACACACACACACACATGCACACCTATTCTCTCTCACACACACACACACACTCACACACATTGCTGGCGGTACTCATTGGGCGATCGTCATGCGGGCAATATTCGTCACAGACTCTAAAATATCCGACTTTAAGTCAAGCACTTTCGCAAAAGTAAACACCGAGCGCTCTATGCGAGAGTGTGCCTGACTAGAATATACCCTGTAAAATAAATTTACATTTACCAGGCTGTGTTCCTTCTCTGATTTTTCATTCATCACATTCCATTCTTCAATAACTTTTGTGTTTATCGTTCAAAAGCTTTCAAATTTTCTTATTTCAATTTGTGCATATACCAAAAATCAAAGTTATTCCAGAGTTAAAAGAGTTGAAATTTCATAGAGAACGGGAGAAGGTGTCTATAAAAGAAAAGCTTTATGTAACAAAACGATATTTATCGATTTTGAGGAAGATAAAGTATTCTCCATGAGATATACGAGAGTCGAAATTTCAAGTCCTGAAAGTTTTCTAAACTCTGGGATACACATAGATCTAACTAGTTGGACTCAGCTGACGATATTTATCGATTTTGGGAGAGGGTAAAGTATTCTCCATGAGATATACGAGAGTCTAAATTTCGAGCTTCAAGTCCTGAACGATTTCTTAACTCTGGGATAGACATAGCTCTCACCAGCTGATCTGGAATATATATGCCTGATGAGCTTGTAACATGACAGATGTGATACTCTTTTCTTTTTGCCAAATTTGACTAATTACAGGGTATGAAGAATAGCAAACAACAAAATCTGAACAACAATTCCTACAACAGCGTCAACAACTGACAAGGTGGGCTGGCTAGCTTGGTGCTTGTCTCTTCTGGCAGTCTAAAGCACTGCGCACTTGGGTTGTTTCCATTGTTCGAGCCTCCAAGGGTTCCACAACAACAACGACAACAACAACAACTGCGACAATAAACAATAAACAATGCCAAGTCCGAGGGACAGTTATCGACCCAGAGACGGAGCCAAGGTCGTAATTAAACAACGCCCCAACTCCCAATTGTCACACGTCAAAACTTGGTAGCTGCGACTACGTAAATAGACCTAAATAAGAGCCCAGCTAAACCTGACTAAATCTGACAGGTAATAATTATAATAATTGTTGACTGAGCGGAAAATATGGAATCTTCCGATAGTTGATTAGTTATGTTCTTCAACAAACTATTGTTTGTTGTTTACAGGGCTAAAAATTTTCTATCGTTTGAGTCATTTGAATTTATTTCGCAACCAACAATTCGTATTAGTCACACTTGCATTTTTATACTAAGTTTTTGCTAAGCTTTTGTGTCGAAGAATATTTGTTGTTTTTTTCAAAAGATGTGTGAAAAAAAAAAAAACTTAAAAAGATAACTCTATTAAATCAATATTGTTGTATTTCCATTTAGGGGAATTTCATTGGGCTCTTCGGACAACACTTCAAACGAGGAAGAACAAATACTTTAAAATTCCCAAACAGTTTACGCCTTAAGCTAATATTGAGGAATTCCCAAAGAAATTCCCAGTTAAGTAGAGCCTCAAGTGGTTTTCATTAACATATATTTAAATTCAATTAAAATACAATAAAGCAAACAAGCAGAAGTGCTATTTCAGAGAGTATACGACTGGCAGATACCCTGTAATCAGCTCGTACTAACTAACCTCTTCTTATCTCAGACCCAAACTATACAAAATTGTTTGTGAAGTTACTTCCGCGATTGTTGTGAAATGTTGATGTCATAAAACTGCCATTTCGGGGCGTGGCAATACCAAAAATCAAGGTGAAGCCTCTAAAAAATGTTTTTATTTTGGATGAAATGGAAAAGAAGACGAGAGAATTGCCACAAAATTAGTGGCTAGAGATCGATATATATCGAGCTATGCATTAGTTAGGGTTATCGATATAAAAAAAAACGGTTATCGATATATACAAATATATAGAGATGTATAGACAGACAACCCGACAGAACCCGACAACTAATCCTGTTCAGGAATATAAATATATATATATCTTAAATAATCGACGATGTCTCCAACTGTCTGTTACATGCATGCAACATACCCCATTCACCCACGTAACAGGGTATAAATAGTTTCGCATAATCATAGTACAAAGCCGTATTCCATTCACCTGCTCGTAATGCAAGATACGCCCATTCAGAAGAAATGAAAACGTAATGTCCGCCTGGAACTGCAGTCAGCAGCTGCATATACCCGAGCGACGGGCAGCGGCCCCTTGATCAAACCGCGTTCCCGGACGGGGCATATCGGCTGCACAATCTATTGACACAGACCCGACAGCTCCGCCGTACGCTGGGGGCGCACGCCGTACGCTGATGCAACGCGATAAGCGCGCCGACTTTCACGTTCCGCAATGATAACGCTGTGGCACAGCCACGCCCACAACGGCTGACCATGCGCTGGCCAGCTGGTCGGGCTAATCAGTGCCAATTACGGTAACTCGCAACGGGGCTTGGCCTTTGACGGGCGAGCCGCCGCATCAGCCGGACAATTGGGGCCCAGCGCGCGCACGTCATGCTAATTGTGAATAGCGCAATAAGAAGATGTCTCATCCTCGCTCTCTCTCTCTCTCCCTCGCTCTTTCACTATGCGAATCTGCCGCTCTCTAACTGTTAATCTATTTGCGTGCTCTCTCTCTCGCTCGCTCTGTCGTGCTGTCTCGCTCTAGCGCGTTGCTGCTGCTGTTGCTGTTCACGTTGACTTCACGTGCAAATCAGCCGCAGAATATGCGACCTCGTCGTCATTCGCTCTTTCCGGCGTATTGGACTATAGATTGCCTCCTCGCCCTCCCCCTCCCCCTCCTCTTCCCCCGCTCTTATTCTAGATTTATTTCTGTTGCTGTTTGTGCCATATATACGTATATCTATTTTTTTAAATACCCGTTTCTCTAGGTGAACAAGAGCTTATTAGTTTTATAAAAAAAATGCGTGCCACGCCCAATGGGGCGGGCGGACTACTCGTGATCTTCTCTCAAGATCGAGAGAAAAAAACGCGACCACGCCCACAACTGTAATCAAGATTGCCCGATGTCACAGTTTGAAAGCGACTGCAATTTGTTGACAGTTTTAAGGCCAGGTCAGGTCAACACTGTGAACAGGGTATTGCGCAGTCGGTCAAGTACATATTGGCATTGTTTTTATTCCGTTTGATCTTATTGATGATGCTTGTCGATTTCCCATTGCGACTACTCACGATTCCCCGACTGCTTATAATAATCATCATCAACATTGATGATGATGATGAACATGATGTCGGCATAGGCAAAACAAAAAAAATGGATATAAAAAAGTAAAAGAAAAAATAACAAAGCCAAAGGCGCTCGGATGAACCGGTTCAGGGTCAGTCGCCTTCGCCAGCCGTCCTGCCGTCCACGGACAACAACTTTCAAGTTCAGTTGGAAGATTCGGCGAGGGCAGGAACTGGGCCAAGGTCGGCCAAGCCAAGCCAGAATAATGCCGCATACAGAATACCAGGTAAAAGGGGAATGCCATGCCAAGGCAAAACAGAATCATCATCATCATCATCATCATCATCATTATCATCTTCTGTTCTGGCAGCTGGGTAAGAAAAAAAGACCTTGGATGTAAATTTCCACTGGGCACATTTAAATGGCCTTCGCTTTCATTTGAGAAAAATATTCCAAACACAGAGCCTGCATCCGATTAAATCCAACAACAACAAAAATGTCAAGTAAAGTTCTCGGCGTGGAGCTCTACATAGAGATAGACGAGCGCAACGCGTTAGCCGGCACGTAGGCCCCAGCCAGATGAGGGATTAGACTGTTTTTCGGAGCGGGAACGGGGGCGGGGGGCGGGCACAGCCAAATGATATGTCGAAGGGGAGGGGGGGGGGGGGGGGTCAGTTAGTTTTGGACAGTAAGCAACAAATGCAAAACTAAACTCTGCTAAGGTACAGAGCGTACTTCCAACTTTTGCCGTGCTAAAAGTTGTTGTCAGAGAAATATTATATTTATATTTAAAATCCATAGATAAATGTACAAATTTTGTTAAAATGCCAAAAAAAAAAAAAAACCGGAACTATTTGTTAAGAGAAATTTCCTGTGCTTATATCTTTAGCAGAGAATTTGAAAAGTTAAAGAAAACATTTTCTGTAACTGTTAAAAGTTAACAGTTAAGTTAACATGGATATATGTATGTTTGTATTTTTGTAAATAGTTGGGCGATCTAAGAAAAGAAGAAGAGAACACAAGATGACACCGATTCAAAAATTAATACATTTTTTTTTTGGATATTTTCAGTACCAAAAACCTAACCTAACTTTCCAAATGGTTCAATTTTGGTTGGAGCTCGGTTCCAGGGCCAACTATTTGTTTACTTGAGCAGCTGCTATCGCTCGGCAAATTGATTTATTTATAATATCGCTAAACAGAATTTCATTTATTGTATCTCAGGTGTGGTCAGGAGGGTGTCGAGCTGCATTGTCACGAGTTAGCAACCGCTGCCGCTGCCGCTGCCGCTGCTGCTGGGCACAAGCATGACGTCATGGAGGCAAATTTTGAGCAGCATTTTGTGTGGCGCGTGTGAAACAAAGCGCGGCAAAGACGAGTTTGGTGGTTTTACCCATTCACCCATTCGCATTCGGATGCCAAGAAAAATTAACAACAACAACAACAGCAATAAATCGAAAGAAAAGCGAAATGTGAATGACTTGGACATTGGTGAAAAGAAAATTTGGAAATTGTACGGTGTTGCCGTGCCGGATTTTAGACACAAGAATTTTGATTCGGACAGGCTTGCCAGAAAGTTAATGGCATGTCCAATAACAAGATCGAGCACTCACTTGGTTCCGTTTGCAGCTGACGTCACGTTCACCTGTGATTGACGTCCAAGCGTGGAAAAAGACACAAACAGCCAACACATAACATTTTACGCTGCTGGGGGCATACAAAAAAAAATAACCAGAAAGCTCGAGTTCATTAATAAGGCATATGGCAGAGGCCTTGAACCGTCATCCGAATGGCCCTGCGACGTCATTGGCCGTGTTGCTTCTCTGTTTGACCTTTGGAGCAACAGGAGGAAACAGCGTGTGACGTCATCGAGAGCAGGCTACGTAACCATTACAGCAGTTTACGTCAATGCGCAAGCTCTCAAATGGCGTTAGCTCTCTCTTACATGTTCGTTCTTACGCACTCTAGCCCATCTCACCCTGTCTGGCAACCCTTTGCGTTGGCGGCGGCCTACGTGCACTGGTGAATGTGCGTAGGTCTGTGAACACCGGGTGGTCCCCCTTCGGTTCCGGGGTTGGTGAAGCTTGCAGTTGCTACGTAGGTGGCTGCCAAATGCATGTCACGGCAAAAAGCGTACCATTCCCACACTGAACTTGAACTGCCGCCTGGAACCGGAATTCTTGCTAATTTTAGATGCCCTTCGTAGTGCTGATTAAATTAAAACGTACATAGCTCAATAATCACACACATGCAACCACATCTATGTTTGTAAGTTTATTTAATTTATATGGGCGAGCCGCACCTCTCCATATGATGGGGCAGGCTTCAATTGCGTTGCGCACTTTGCATTCAACAAAATTTGCGCTACAGCAAGAAGAAGCAGAGATAGCCCATTTACACGCCCACGCAACATTATTATTGCACTTGAGTTCCGCACAAATTTTAATTCCGTTTCCAATAACAAGCAAAACACGCAACAACAAACTCCCCCAACCGCAACACTCAAACTCACGCACACACATATAAGCAGCCATAAATAGTGGAATAGGCACGCCGCCTTCTACCGTCCACCTGCCCGACCGCTCGCAGCGGCCTATACAAGCTGCTAGCTGGGCTGGCAAGTATCAACAAATGTTCACGTGAACATCATGAGGTCAACGCGTGATTCACAGAATGATAATACTCTCTCGCGCGTGTTTTGTATGGCGTGCTAGTTTCAGTTTTTCTCCCGCCCTGTTGTTGTTTTTGTTGCGCAAGAGCACCACAATATAAAATAGTCACAGCTGTTTGATGGGTGTCTCTCTCTCTCCCTCTCTTTTGCTCTTGCTCTCTGGCGCTCTGCCGATTGTCTGTGAGTGGCACGAGCCCCTTTTTGCTTGTGAAACTGTTACGGGCTTGGCCAGCATTGCCAGACTCAAATGCCTTTGACCAACTCTTGACGAAGCCGTGAGTAGCAAGCCGCTAAGCGTGGGCATTAAATTATCAAGTCAACTGTCATCAAGTAACATTATTTGGCTTAACTTGCGCTCGATTTGCTTTGCAGCTGGCAACGCGGTGCGCTCAACTGGTGAGCGTAGCTATAGACCCCACACCCCGCCGTACGGGTTTTGCCCATTAATGAAATCTGTCTGCGTCTGGACTTTTGCACACATGTTGATGTGTGTTAGCTGCCCCCATGTCGGACAATGCGGCTAATGTACATGCAAATATATGCAGTAAGGCCGATATATTATTGCTGATCCCAAGTGTTGTCTGTCTGGACAAAGCCACTGACCAGTCCAAGCTCAAGCCTGTTTTTTTTTGTGTGTGTTTATTTCTTCTTCTGCCTTAAGCGCTTAATCACGAACTTCCGTAGCAACAAATGCGTCAGCCGCAGCTTCAGCTTTGGCGTCGTGAATGGTATGGCCGGGCCTCAGACTCAACCATGGCTTCGGGGTGTGTCTGTGTGTGCCTCTCACTACATACATACATACATATATAAATGTACGTATGTATATGTTATTTGTGTGTATTTGTTTTTGCCTTTGCTGTGCACGCTTCATGTGCATGAACAACAGCTATGAATAGATAGCTCCAATGGAATTTTGTGTTTTCCCCGAACGCCCCGCGGCCGACAGCCGTGAGGTAAACAGCTGATGACGTCCATGCGCATGTTACGTGCTCTAAGTGTGTTTGTCGCTACCTTCTGCCTGCCAGGGGCCTGCGTGGGCACAGACCTGACCTTTTACCGCCAACACAGCCCCTACGCTTCGGCCATATGTAAGCGCTGCGGGGGCGTACTAAAAATACCTAGAGTAGTGAGCGGGTCGTTTTTGCTTTCGTGACACGAACCTCAATCGGCTTACAAAATAAAATTCTATTAAAACATGCACGCCTTATCACGAGCACGAATTAACACGAAAATTGTAGGGGCGTGTATGTACACACGATAAAGACAAGTTAAATATCTTTATATAAATGTTATGTTCAGTTAAAAAGGCCTATGAAAATAATATTGTATAACTTTGAATAAATTCCGAAATAAAAAAAGCCAATGATTCACTTACTCAATTAAAAAGGGAAATTTAAAAGTATGTAACTGTATCCTATACTACATTTTTGAAAAGTCGTGTTTTGTGAATTGTGGTTCGTGCTTGGGACGTGACACGCGCCCTGCTCTATCAAAAGCTGCCCACGTTGTCACTGCCTGATGCCGAAATACGTTCATAAGCAGTTACAGCCGCAGTTATGTCCTCCGCTGGGTTCCAATGCACTGGTTGCTTCGCCGACATATTCGATGACGATTTTTGTACAAACGCCCAGCACACCCCCGCGCGTTTCGGCTACCGCAGCGCACACCGCTTACAAGTGATTACGTCGACAGCATGCGCTCCCACTCTCACACTCTCACCAGCTCATATGCCTGTGAGTGTGTGCGTGCGCTGCGACAGCGATGGTCTGGTGGAAGCTCGCAGTCTGAATGTTGTTCATTCGTCTGTTGAATTCTGAACGCTACGGTTCGCTCACTCGGGCTCTCCCAAGCAGCCGCATCAAGTGAAATACATATATTAAAATAAACTTTATAAAAAGCCTGAAAATCTTGTGTAAATCAAAAAGTGCTCACACAGATTTAGATAAGTGATAAGGCTGACAAATAAGAAAAATTTAAAGAAAAAAAAAACAAACAAAACAGACTCCAGTGCCCCTGCAGTAACTCTCTGTGCAGGTGCCAAAGACAGTTGAACAAGTGCAAAGTGCAATCCAATTAAAATTTAAATAATATTTACTACATACACAATGGATATGGATACGTTGCTGCTGCCGTCGCCGCCTGCAACGCCCCCGCTTCGGGATAACAAAGTGGAAAACGTAAGTCCAAGTGACTCAGAGCTCAAAGAGATTGACCTACAAAGTGGAGCGTGTAAATGTGTGTAAATTAGTGCAGTACAAACTAATTAAAATTAAATGCGAAAAATGCAGCCTGCACACACACACACATGCATATATACAGCTACAGCGAATTCCCGCATTTAATTCGTGCCCCCAGACAGTGGAGACGCCTTCGCTTTTGACAAATCACGCAACAAAAAAATATATATGGCAAGGCAAACCATTAAGTGTAGTGCCCGCTCGCTTGCACTCGCCGCATTTCTAAAAACAAAAGTCTCGCATCTCGTTCGCTCTAGTGTAACGCTATGCGATCACGCAGCGGGCACGCTTTCACGTGAACACCGCATGCACAGCGAGTGATACAAACACACATACACATGCACATACAGGGCGAACATTGGACTCCACAGCAATGTGGAGATGTCGTAGTTATATTTGCGCGCCTTGTGTTGCTGAGAGCGCGTCAAAGCGAGTGTCTCTCAATCGTGACGTAGTCAGAGGAGCGCATTTGTTTGAGAGCATTCGCGTGTGTGTGTGTGTCTGTGTGCGTTTGTGAGAGCGCGCGAAGGTGAGTTGCCAATTAGAAAAGGCAAGCGGCACAAAAAACAAACAGCCAAGCCCCAGACAGGCACCGCTGTCGACGGCAGCGTCTCACATAAAATATGTCACATTTTTTTGCTTTCGGCTTATCTGGCCCGCAAGCAAGCAAACAAACAAAACAACGCACACTTAGAAACGGCAACGTGCCGAGCCCATAAAAATCATTTAACTCAGCGCCATTTTTAATGCATGCTTTTCGGCTGCGTCGCAAAATACAAAAATATTCATTTATTGGCGAAAAGGCATCCAAAAGTTCAAAAAACTGGCATTAAACAAAACCAGTAAGTGCCATGATCGAGAGTAGCCGACTGGTAGCTACCCTGTACACAATTTGCGATCGATACATCTTCCAAGGCGTGTGTTTGTGTGTGTATTACCCGTCGCGACGTGCATTAACCCCGCGCTGGGCTCAGTTAAAATTCGCGTGGGGGCCGTTGCGGCGGGTTAAGGTTAAATGTGAACGGCCTTGTCCGCTGTTAACCGACGCCTACGTCGACGTCGACGTCCGCGCACACAATTAGCGAATTTTCGTGGTTTGCACCCGCTCAAAAAGTTATTGTAGGTCAACTCAGGCAGGGAAAAAGTGAATGCTTTTTTCGGGACGTTTATTGAACCCGTTGCTAATCGAACTTTTCCTTTTCTTGCTCTTTTACCCTGTAGGCGGCCAAGGACAAACAACAGGTCAATGAGAATCTGCTGAAGGCCAAGCTAAAACTGGTCGCCAATCAGAAGAGTCAAAAAACTGGCGCCGGCATCATAACACCCAATCCCTCGGACACGGAGGACGATGCCGCCGATGTGTTGCCATGCAAAAAGGCGCGCCTGGAACAGCCGGCGATAACATTAACGCCTCCACCCGATCAGCAGCAGCAGCTGAAGCATGAACACGAACAGGAGGCGGAGGATGCACTGGCGCAACGCGTTAGCGTCATCATGCGTGTCAATAGCCTGGGCACGGTCAGCTCCTCAACCAAGGAGGAGGAGAACAGCTCCAGCTGCTCCAACAATGGCGCGCTCGGCACACCCATTGCCGATGACTATCCCGAGGAGAATGTGTGGCGCAATCTCAAATACAAAATGAATCGCAAACGTGCCGCCGAGGTGGCGCTACCCACAGCAACAACAAAAGCAACTGCAGTGGAACCATGCAGCGCACCATCGGCACCAACGGACCAGCAGCAAAACACATCCTGTCCAGCGTCCGCCACGAGCGTCTATATAGCTGCAGCAGCTCCAGCTGCAAACTCACAGCTGCTGCTGCTAAGCAACGTCGCCGTTGCTGTCGCCGCCGCCGCCGCCTCCGGTGCACAGCCTCAATTACCAAGCCAGCCTCCAACTTCATGCGCATCTCCAACTATGTCCTCAATGGGGGGCAGCAGCAGCAGCAAACGCATTACCGCCGCCCAGGCGGCGGCCACACGCAGTCGCATCTACGAGTGCACCTTTCCCGATTGCGGCAAAAACTACTTCAAGAGCAGCCACCTGAAGGCACATCAGCGCGTCCATACCGGCGAGCGTCCGTTTATATGCAAATGGGAGAACTGTGACAAGCGCTTCTCCCGCTCCGATGAGCTCTCGCGGCACAAGCGCACGCACACCGGCGAAAAGAAGTTCCAGTGCGGCGTCTGCTCAAAGAAGTTCATGCGCAGCGATCATCTGTCCAAGCACGTAAAGCGCCACAACAAGGACAAGGCGAACGGAGTCAATCGCAATGTCAGCTTTGCCACGGCCGCCGCCGAAGCAGCTGCCGCTACGGCAGCGGCGGCGGCGGCGGCCGCGCTGTGTGAGCCAACGCTACAGCTGCGCGCAATAGCACCAGCCGCCGCCGTCTCCGCCCCGAGTCCAGTGCAAATGTCCAGCGCCTCGTCGAGCCAATCCTCCAGCAGCAGCAGCAGTCTACACATTTACAGTGCGCCGGATTTGCTGCGCCTGCAACAGCATCGATTGTCTCCATTTGTGGCAACGGCGTCCGCTGTTCAGGCCCGATAAATACACGCACCACCGTGGTGCGGCACAATCTCATCTCGACACACAGTATGAACCAGCTCAAGCACTAAAGCACTGGAGGCACATCCACATGCGGGCCAGCTGGCGTAGAGTTAAGACCTAGTTAAGAGCTATTTCTTGTCATCGTTATTTTAGATTCATATTACAACACAATTGTCCTTATGTAAGCCTAATCATGTACCATGGATATGCTTCACAACAACAATATGTTTCCAAGCACACATTTTAGTTTAGAGCTCTTCTGATAATACCTAGTGCATATATACTATATATACTATATACTATATATAGCTACAATTCTGTGATATTTAAGTTTTCTTAACTCTTTCTCTATTGTACAATAATTATCGCTCTTACATTTTTTTGTAATCTAAACAAAATTGTATTTATTGAATCATGTGAAGAAAATAAGCATGCAAAATACCTGGTACAAACCAAGGTACAAATCTCAAGAAAACAAAAAAAAAAAAAACAAAAAAAAAACCAATGCGAAAATATATTTTCCATAGAAATATTTAAACCATGTCTATCGAATGTGGGAATATTTGGATACGCTTGATCGAGGGATCGAGGTCTCGTACAAATAACGACATAGGAACTCGGTGGAAAATACATTGTTGATCTAATATATATCACAGTGCCCGCCCTTGGCAATTGGGCGTATTCTTTTTTTAGTCCATATTTGTATCTATTTCTATATATAGCATTAGCTCATTTGATTCGAGATAGGTGTGCCAAGCCGCCAGGTATTTAGGCACTCGTATAATAATGAATAGCTGACTGAATAGTGCACATATGAATTTCAATTACCATTTAAATTGGGCACAGTATAACAATAATGCATATATTTAACTATAATTTAAATTGTGCTGTTGATGCGAACTCACTCTTTCTTACGTTTGGAGACGTCGCTGGATGATGCAGCCAACCCAGTTATTTGGATTGGGGTGTCTATGCAGGGGCAGTCGCCGCCATCCTGTTGGCCACCGCCGCAGATGACGATCGGATGGGGCCGATATGGGAGGCCTGAGCAGGTCGGGCAGCTGAGGGATTGTCAGATCGTTACGGTCTGGCAGTCGTAGCTGGTAATCGGTAATGGGACTAGACTCTACTTACTGGTGGTAACCATCGCGCTCCAGATATACGATTTTGGCCATATACACTGGATATACCCTATAGAGGCAGATCAGTCGATGGGCCACATAGAGGATCGGTATGAGCAACAGGCAGCAAAGCAGTACGCCCACCCAGAACGCATTCTGCAATTGATCACGATATTAATGGGTATCATAATTGGATGAGTTTTGGCTACTTACGATCGGGTCAATCAGATGCTCGCAAATGTAACCAATACTTTTCGTATAGAGATCCGATAAATGCGCACAGCGACCAACGTTATTGCTTTCGGATATAACCATTTCCAGATAACGATCCGTTTGTTCGGCAATCGACTCCGTTAAATTTTTGCCAAGATTGTTGATATAGTCGACGCCCTTCTTGTTTATGAACTCTTGTGAGCGTACAACTGCATCAATCAGTCGCTGAAAGGTTTCATTAAAATTCCGCTCAGTAGTATATAGATATCTATCGAGTGTCTTCACGTTTCTTGTTATTGTTGCTATATATTTTGGAATTTCTTCTTCTATTTCCAAATATGGTCTCGTATCACGTACGGCAGTAAAAAAAGTACAGGAGCTCATCCACATTCTTGAATACATTGGACTGCCCTTGTAATATGTGTAAATTATATCAAGACCGGTTTTTTCGACTTTATCCGCCATTTGCTTTAAAGTAGTACGCGTCAATGGCATGCACAGTGAATCCGTATATAGAGAGCTATGATATGGAAACAATGGCTCCAGGGTTTTATAAAGCAAACGCATGTCTTTGGCACTTATCAGCGCCAGCTTAGACAAATCGCCTTTATGCCACTCAAATTCAGTTACTTCCTCTTCTATTTCCAATATGCCCCTTAATTTGTTGACATCGTATACGCCATTTTCTTTCAACAAATCGAAAATGCTTTCATCCTTTCTGCACTCGAACAGATTATTTGAAATAGTTGCGTTTATCGGATCTTTTTCCTGCTCCTCATCGGCAACGGTTTCGTTGATCCGGGAATCCATGAAGCTGTTCGTTGACGCAATATCTGATCGACAGGCACCATGATATGTGAGCAATCCAAGTATCAAATAAAAAAGTCCAACTATCGTTATCAGCGAGAAGACGCAAAATATCACCATAACGGTTCTGCAAGATTTGAAAAATGCCAAATAACAATGTCTCCCAATTTGTGGGCCAAGCAATCAACTACTTACACTAGCATGGCATAAGATCCCACGTTGTTTGTACGCACACACATGCCCCATACTAGGCCAATTATCAATAAGACAATGATCTGAAATGAACAGGTAATATATCCAGTACGAAATTAACACACAAAACATTCGCACGTTCAACCGCTAAAGCGTCGTAGCTTGTAGTATCGATGCTTTCACAATTCGAACATCGATACAACTCGCTCATTCATATTGCGATACATTCATCGCATATTTCGATATCGATACATAAATATAACTTATTGCGATCTTAACAATTGTATTCACAATATATATTTTTCTTGTGATCTCAATTTATCCAAATGCGCTCCGAGCCATTGTATTATCGGGTAAAATGGCCCCTTTTGGACCTCGCTAATTACCGATTAACGAATACGGGGCAATTCTTATTCGTTGTTTGTTTACAAACATCTTTTGGTGCTGCCCATGTGCATACGACAGGGTGGCAACACTGAAATGATATTTGGCGGCAAAAGAAAAAACGACCCTGTATGAGAGGTACCAGGGGTGTTCTACTACCAGCTACACACAGCCCATTGTGGACATTTTGAATATTATTCTAGTACTCATGGTATTCAAGGACTTACCAACATTAAAGTGAGGCAGACAAAAATATTGATAGCATTGCGATCGTTACCAAAGTCGGTTAATATGCCGTCTAATGATTTTCCAGAATTTACCGTTTTCTTGTGAACGTCATTCAGCATCTCATCGATAAGTGTATTTAATTTGTGCCTCTGATCCCAGAGAATGGTAGCACATCGATCTAACTTTGTAATTAACGGCGGAATAGTCGGAGCCATAATTTCTTTCATTTGTTCACCAATTTGCCATAGACGTATTATACCTTGTCTCGGTATATTGACCAAGTCATTTTTAACTGATTGATCTATTGCCGACCAAAAGACGGTTGAGTTAGGCAACTAAAAAACCAAAACAAAAAATTATTTTTAAATATTTTGCAATTGATCTGACGTGCATACCAAATCCATATGCATACATTTGGTGGCCCAATTTTGAAAGCCAAATGTCATAAAAGTCTCATCACACTTTATCTTGTTACATAAAATGATAAATGCGCGATATGTCTCACGATAAAAGTAACGCATGCCTAGATTAAATAGTTTAAAAAGATTAAAACAAATGCACACTATTAATAATAAATGTTTTCTTCATTCACTTTGTCGTTTAAAATGCGATCAATCAGTCAATCATTTAGCAAGTCAGTCAGACAATCAGTCAGTCAGTCAGTCAGTCAATCGGACAGACAATCAGTAAGTCAGTCAATCAGACAATCGGACAGTTAGTCAATTAGTCAGTTAGTCAGTTAGTCAGTCAGTCAGCCAGTGAGTCAATCAGTCAGTCAATCAATCTCATTTACTTACCATCCCGATAATTGGCGTTAAGGAACACCAGTCTATTGATTCTCCAAATAACTCTCTTCATTATTACCCTCGCCTCGATCATGTTTGTCAATATATTCTCCATTTCAACTAACGCATTCCCATCGGAAGTATCAGCTAGATCCAAAAATAGATGCTTATACGCATCTGCGGGTATCGCATTAAATGAACAAAATTGAAAAAAAAAAATATTAAAATCCGAAGGAACAACAGAGAAGAACGTGGAATACCTATGCAGAGGGCATAGATTTTTCAGATATGCAAGGTATATCTATATATATATATCTATATATATATATATGGGTACAAGCGCGAAACTCTCTGCATAGGTGGTCAATTATTTGCATACCAGTTGCCTGTTCAACCACATGCTCCTTCAGCTCCTGATAATTGGTGACCAACAAATGGTCGATGTGATCGGAGACATCTTTGAGAAAGGCGCAGGTGTCCTCGCCGGAATACATCAGTCTCTCCTTGGCATAGCGCATCCCTCGACTGATCTGTTTATTGGCAATGAACGCAATGATGGTCCCAATTCTGCAATTGCAATTGCAATTGCAATTAGAAACAAATCCCACTCAGACACCCGACATTTCAGACTTACATCAATCCAATGAGCAGGAATATCATGATTACACTGCACACCACGCACATCTTACCCTCCCGTTGGGCAGTGCACGGCGGACAGCCTCGTTTGCAGCGACACCAGCATAGAGAGCAATACAATATCCTGTAATTAGATTCAATTCGATTCAATTCTCTGCAACTATTCGACTATTCGACTATTTGACTTACCCAAGGATCGGTATGGCCAACATGAGTAGTAGGAAGAACAGGAGCAAGACGATTAGCAGCTTGTTGGCGGCAAGCATAGGCTTCCAGTCGTTCGATATCGTCCTGCGCTCCATGGTTAGGGTGCTGCCGTTCGAAACCGAAATATAATCTACAACCGAGGCAGATGCATTACGATGCCCCAGCGTGCCTGCGCCTGTATGTAATTGTATACGTACCACTTAAGTGAAAGTTGTCGGGGTTAAAGAGAACTTGAAGAAGACCATGTGCTAAACCGTAGACTGGAGTCATGCCCATAAACGAGGGTTTGCTAATATTTCTATATCTTGGCCTCGGCACGTAATCGCTATAGATTGGGTCTGGCACATGGCGCTGGCCGAGCTGCTCGTGAACGGTACCATGTCCCGGATAGCCCTCGCGCCACACCGTCTCCTCGGCATGGGCGACAAATATATGAAGAGCGCACGCGACCAGACATTGCACCAACCAGTTGACTGTCTTCATCTTGGGCGAGTTTCTTGCCCTCCGACACAAATGTAAAAAATTATAAAATAAAATTTAACAATTACGATTTCTCATACGTTTTCGGTTTGCATCGAAATTCGAATCGAGTAAAATTTAAAATGAAATAAATAAATAGATTCAAATACGAAATCTGAAGCATACAGTGTATTAAAAAAAATAAAATGAGCACTTTGTTGATCTAGCAAAAGCATTTCAACAATTTGACACTTAAATCAGAAAAGTCTAGATCGAACTTTAAAAAAAGTCTTTCCACAATTTCATAGAATCCACGCATTCGGGTGAAAGCGGAACCTGCAAACGAAGGCTGCGCTTGCTCTGACCTTTTTCGATACTTGTTGTCCGATTTTTCGAAATTTTCGTGTCTGTTAATTTAACTTGTAGTAGGCCAAGAAGTTAACTATCCGACTAAATCAATGTCAAGTACCATTTCAATTTGAATGTCTATTTCTCTACAAAATTTCTGATTTGGCACTGTTTGGCATAAATTCTTATATTCAGCTACAATTTGATGCTTACTTATTCTCGCTTATGTTTGGAGACGTCGCTGGATGATGCACCCAACCCAGTTATTTGGATTGGGGTGTCTATGCAGGGGCAGTCGCCGCCATCCTGTTGGCCACCGCCGCAGATGACGATCGGATGGGGCCGATATGGGAGGCCTGAGCAGGTCGGGCAGCTGAGGGATTGTCAGATCGTTACGGTCTGGCAGTCGTAGCTGGTAATCGGTAATGGGACTAGACTCTACTTACTGGTGGTAACCATCGCGCTCCAGATATACGATTTTGGCCATATACACTGGATATACCCTATAGAGGCAGATCAGTCGATGGGCCACATAGAGGATCGGTATGAGCAACAGGCAGCAAAGCAGTACGCCCACCCAGAACGCATTCTGCAATTGATCACGATATTAATGGGTATCATAATTGGATGAGTTTTGGCTACTTACGATCGGGTCAATCAGATGCTCGCAAATGTAACCAATACTTTTCGTATAGAGATCCGATAAATGCGCACAGCGACCAACGTTATTGCTTTCGGATATAACCATTTCCAGATAACGATCCGTTTGTTCGGCAATCGACTCCGTTAAATTTTTGCCAAGATTGTTGATATAGTCGACGCCCTTCTTGTTTATGAACTCTTGTGAGCGTACAACTGCATCAATCAGTCGCTGAAAGGTTTCATTAAAATTCCGCTCAGTAGTATATAGATATCTATCGAGTGTCTTCACGTTTCTTGTTATTGTTGCTATATATTTTGGAATTTCTTCTTCTATTTCCAAATATGGTCTCGTATCACGTACGGCAGTAAAAAAAGTACAGGAGCTCATCCACATTCTTGAATACATTGGACTGCCCTTGTAATATGTGTAAATTATATCAAGACCGGTTTTTTCGACTTTATCCGCCATTTGCTTTAAAGTAGTACGCGTCAATGGCATGCACAGTGAATCCGTATATAGAGAGCTATGATATGGAAACAATGGCTCCAGGGTTTTATAAAGCAAACGCATGTCTTTGGCACTTATCAGCGCCAGCTTAGACAAATCGCCTTTATGCCACTCAAATTCAGTTACTTCCTCTTCTATTTCCAATATGCCCCTTAATTTGTTGACATCGTATACGCCATTTTCTTTCAACAAATCGAAAATGCTTTCATCCTTTCTGCACTCGAACAGATTATTTGAAATAGTTGCGTTTATCGGATCTTTTTCCTGCTCCTCATCGGCAACGGTTTCGTTGATCCGGGAATCCATGAAGCTGTTCGTTGACGCAATATCTGATCGACAGGCACCATGATATGTGAGCAATCCAAGTATCAAATAAAAAAGTCCAACTATCGTTATCAGCGAGAAGACGCAAAATATCACCATAACGGTTCTGCAAGATTTGAAAAATGCCAAATAACAATGTCTCCCAATTTGTGGGCCAAGCAATCAACTACTTACACTAGCATGGCATAAGATCCCACGTTGTTTGTACGCACACACATGCCCCATACTAGGCCAATTATCAATAAGACAATGATCTGAAATGAACAGGTAATATATCCAGTACGAAATTAACACACAAAACATTCGCACGTTCAACCGCTAAAGCGTCGTAGCTTGTAGTATCGATGCTTTCACAATTCGAACATCGATACAACTCGCTCATTCATATTGCGATACATTCATCGCATATTTCGATATCGATACATAAATATAACTTATTGCGATCTTAACAATTGTATTCACAATATATATTTTTCTTGTGATCTCAATTTATCCAAATGCGCTCCGAGCCATTGTATTATCGGGTAAAATGGCCCCTTTTGGACCTCGCTAATTACCGATTAACGAATACGGGGCAATTCTTATTCGTTGTTTGTTTACAAACATCTTTTGGTGCTGCCCATGTGCATACGACAGGGTGGCAACACTGAAATGATATTTGGCGGCAAAAGAAAAAACGACCCTGTATGAGAGGTACCAGGGGTGTTCTACTACCAGCTACACACAGCCCATTGTGGACATTTTGAATATTATTCTAGTACTCATGGTATTCAAGGACTTACCAACATTAAAGTGAGGCAGACAAAAATATTGATAGCATTGCGATCGTTACCAAAGTCGGTTAATATGCCGTCTAATGATTTTCCAGAATTTACCGTTTTCTTGTGAACGTCATTCAGCATCTCATCGATAAGTGTATTTAATTTGTGCCTCTGATCCCAGAGAATGGTAGCACATCGATCTAACTTTGTAATTAACGGCGGAATAGTCGGAGCCATAATTTCTTTCATTTGTTCACCAATTTGCCATAGACGTATTATACCTTGTCTCGGTATATTGACCAAGTCATTTTTAACTGATTGATCTATTGCCGACCAAAAGACGGTTGAGTTAGGCAACTAAAAAACCAAAACAAAAAATTATTTTTAAATATTTTGCAATTGATCTGACGTGCATACCAAATCCATATGCATACATTTGGTGGCCCAATTTTGAAAGCCAAATGTCATAAAAGTCTCATCACACTTTATCTTGTTACATAAAATGATAAATGCGCGATATGTCTCACGATAAAAGTAACGCATGCCTAGATTAAATAGTTTAAAAAGATTAAAACAAATGCACACTATTAATAATAAATGTTTTCTTCATTCACTTTGTCGTTTAAAATGCGATCAATCAGTCAATCATTTAGCAAGTCAGTCAGACAATCAGTCAGTCAGTCAGTCAGTCAATCGGACAGACAATCAGTAAGTCAGTCAATCAGACAATCGGACAGTTAGTCAATTAGTCAGTTAGTCAGTTAGTCAGTCAGTCAGCCAGTGAGTCAATCAGTCAGTCAATCAATCTCATTTACTTACCATCCCGATAATTGGCGTTAAGGAACACCAGTCTATTGATTCTCCAAATAACTCTCTTCATTATTACCCTCGCCTCGATCATGTTTGTCAATATATTCTCCATTTCAACTAACGCATTCCCATCGGAAGTATCAGCTAGATCCAAAAATAGATGCTTATACGCATCTGCGGGTATCGCATTAAATGAACAAAATTGAAAAAAAAAAATAGTAAAATCCGAAGGAACAACAGAGAAGAACGTGGAATACCTATGCAGAGGGCATAGATTTTTCAGATATGCAAGGTATATCTATATATATATATATCTATATATATATATATGGGTACAAGCGCGAAACTCTCTGCATAGGTGGTCAATTATTTGCATACCAGTTGCCTGTTCAACCACATGCTCCTTCAGCTCCTGATAATTGGTGACCAACAAATGGTCGATGTGATCGGAGACATCTTTGAGAAAGGCGCAGGTGTCCTCGCCGGAATACATCAGTCTCTCCTTGGCATAGCGCATCCCTCGACTGATCTGTTTATTGGCAATGAACGCAATGATGGTCCCAATTCTGCAATTGCAATTGCAATTGCAATTAGAAACAAATCCCACTCAGACACCCGACATTTCAGACTTACATCAATCCAATGAGCAGGAATATCATGATTATACTGCACACCACGCACATCTTACCCTCCCGTTGGGCAGTGCACGGCGGACAGCCTCGTTTGCAGCGACACCAGCATAGAGAGCAATACAATATCCTGTAATTAGATTCAATTCGATTCAATCCTCTGCAACTATTCGACTATTCGACTATTTGACTTACCCAAGGATCGGTATGGCCAACATGAGTAGTAGGAAGAACAGGAGCAAGACGATTAGCAGCTTGTTGGCGGCAAGCATAGGCTTCCAGTCGTTCGATATCGTCCTGCGCTCCATGGTTAGGGTGCTGCCGTTCGAAACCGAAATATAATCTACAACCGAGGCAGATGCATTACGATGCCCCAGCGTGCCTGCGCCTGTATGTAATTGTATACGTACCACTTAAGTGAAAGTTGTCGGGGTTAAAGAGAACTTGAAGAAGACCATGTGCTAAACCGTAGACTGGAGTCATGCCCATAAACGAGGGTTTGCTAATATTTCTATATCTTGGCCTCGGCACGTAATCGCTATAGATTGGGTCTGGCACATGGCGCTGGCCGAGCTGCTCGTGAACGGTACCATGTCCCGGATAGCCCTCGCGCCACACCGTCTCCTCGGCATGGGCGACAAATATATGAAGAGCGCACGCGACCAGACATTGCACCAACCAGTTGACTGTCTTCATCTTGGGCGAGTTTCTTGCCCTCCGACACAAATGTAAAAAATTATAAAATAAAATTTAACAATTACGATTTCTCATACGTTTTCGGTTTGCATCGAAATTCGAATCGAGTAAAATTTAAAATGAAATAAATAAATAGATTCAAATACGAAATCTGAAGCATACAGTGTATTAAAAAAAATAAAATGAGCACTTTGTTGATCTAGCAAAAGCATTTCAACAATTTGACACTTAAATCAGAAAAGTCTAGATCGAACTTTAAAAAAAGTCTTTCCACAATTTCATAGAATCCACACATTCGGGTGAAAGCGGAACCTGCAAACGAAGGCTGCGCTTGCTCTGACCTTTTTCGATACTTGTTGTCCGATTTTTCGAAATTTTCGTGTCTGTTAATTTAACTTGTAGTAGGCCAAGAAGTTAACTATCCGACTAAATCAATGTCAAGTACCATTTCAATTTGAATGTCTATTTCTCTACAAAATTTCTGATTTGGCACAGTTTGGCAAAAATTCTTATATTCAGCTACAATTTGATGCTTACTTATTCTCGCTTACGTTTGGAGACGTCGCTGGATGATGCAGCCAACCCAGTTATTTGGATTGGGGTGTCTATGCAGGGGCAGTCGCCGCCATCCTGTTGGCCACCGCCGCAGATGACGATCGGATGGGGCCGATATGGGAGGCCTGAGCAGGTCGGGCAGCTGAGGGATTGTCAGATCGTTACGGTCTGGCAGTCGTAGCTGGTAATCGGTAATGGGACTAGACTCTACTTACTGATGGTAACCATCGCGCTCCAGATATACGATTTTGGCCATATACACTGGATATACCCTATAGAGGCAGATCAGTCGATGGGCCACATAGAGGATCGGTATGAGCAACAGGCAGCAAAGCAGTACGCCCACCCAGAACGCATTCTGCAATTGATCACGATATTAATGGGTATCATAATTGGATAAGTTTTGGCTACTTACGATCGGGTCAATCAGATGCTCGCAAATGTAACCAACACTTTTCGTATAGAGATCCGATAAATGGGCACAGCGACCAACGTTATTGCTTTCGGATATAACCATTTCCAGATAACGATCCGTTTGTTCGGCAATCGACTCCGTTAAATTTTTGCCAAGATTGTTGATATAGTCGACGCCCTTCTTGTTTATGAACTCTTGTGAGCGTACAACTGCATCAATCAGTCGCTGAAAGGTTTCATTAAAATTCCGCTCAGTAGTATATAGATATCTATCGAGTGTCTTCACGTTTCTTGTTATTGTTGCTATATATTTTGGAATTTCTTCTTCTATTTCCAAATATGGTCTCGTATCACGTACGGCAGTAAAAAAAGTACAGGAGCTCATCCACATTCTTGAATACATTGGACTGCCCTTGTAATATGTGTAAATTATATCAAGACCGGTTTTTTCGACTTTATCCGCCATTTGCTTTAAAGTAGTACGCGTCAATGGCATGCACAGTGAATCCGTATATAGAGAGCTATGATATGGAAACAATGGCTCCAGGGTTTTATAAAGCAAACGCATGTCTTTGGCACTTATCAGCGCCAGCTTAGACAAATCGCCTTTAAATGCATGCCACTCAAATTCAGTTTCCTCCTCTTCTACTTCCAATATGCCCCTTAATTTGTTGACATCGTATACGCCATTTTCTTTCAACAAATCGAAAATGCTTTCATCCTTTCTGCACTCGAACAGATTATTTGAAATAGTTGCGTTTATCGGATCTTTTTCCTGCTCCTCATCGGCAACGGTTTCGTTGATCCGGGAATCCATGAAGCTGTTCGTTGACGCAATATCTGATCGACAGGCACCATGATATGTGAGCAATCCAAGTATCAAATAAAAAAGTCCAACTATCGTTATCAGCGAGAAGACGCAAAATATCACCATAACGGTTCTGCAAGATTTGAAAAATGCCAAATAACAATGTCTCCCAATTTGTGGGCCAAGCAATCAACTACTTACACTAGCATGGCATAAGATCCCACGTTGTTTGTACGCACACACATGCCCCATACTAGGCCAATTATCAATAAGACAATGATCTGAAATGAACAGGTAATATATCCATTACGAAATTAACACACAAAACATTCGCACGTTCAACCGCTAAAGCGTCGTAGCTTGTAGTATCGATGCTTTCACAATTCGAACATCGATACAACTCGCTCATTCATATTGCGATACATTCATCGCATATTTCGATATCGATACATAAATATAACTTATTGCGATCTTAACAATTGTATTCACAATATATATTTTTCTCGTGATCTCAATTTATCCAAATGCGCTCCGAGCCATTGTATTATCGGGTAAAATGGCCCCTTTTGGACCTCGCTAATTACCGATTAACGATTACGGGGCAATTCTTATTCGTTGTTTGTTTACAAACATCTTTTGGTGCTGCCCATGTGCATACGACAGGGTGGCAACACTGAAATGATATTTGGCGGCAAAAGAAAAAACGACCCTGTATGAGAGGTACCAGGGGTGTTCTACTACCAGCTACACACAGCCCATTGTGGACATTTTGAATATTATTCTAGTACTCATGGTATTCAAGGACTTACCAACATTAAAGTGAGGCAGACAAAAATATTGATAGCATTGCGATCGTTACCAAAGTCGGTTAATATGCCGTCTAATGATTTTCCAGAATTTACCGTTTTCTTGTGAACGTCATTCAGCATCTCATCGATAAGTGTATTTAATTTGTGCCTCTGATCCCAGAGAATGGTAGCACATCGATCTAACTTTGTAATTAACGGCGGAATAGTCGGAGCCATAATTTCTTTCATTTGTTCACCAATTTGCCATAGACGTATTATACCTTGTCTCGGTATATTGACCAAGTCATTTTTAACTGATTGATCTATTGCCGACCAAAAGACGGTTGAGTTAGGCAACTAAAAAACCAAAACAAAAAATTATTTTTAAATATTTTGCAATTGATCTGACGTGCATACCAAATCCATATGCATACATTTGGTGGCCCAATTTTGAAAGCCAAATGTCATAAAAGTCTCATCACACTTTATCTTGTTACATAAAATGATAAATGCGCGATATGTCTCACGATAAAAGTAACGCATGCCTAGATTAAATAGTTTAAAAAGATTAAAACAAATGCACACTATTAATAATAAATGTTTTCTTCATTCACTTTGTCGTTTAAAATGCGATCAATCAGTCAATCATTTAGCAAGTCAGTCAGACAATCAGTCAGTCAGTCAGTCAGTCAATCGGACAGACAATCAGTAAGTCAGTCAATCAGACAATCGGACAGTTAGTCAATTAGTCAGTTAGTCAGTTAGTCAGTCAGTCAGCCAGTGAGTCAATCAGTCAGTCAATCAATCTCATTTACTTACCATCCCGATAATTGGCGTTAAGGAACACCAGTCTATTGATTCTCCAAATAACTCTCTTCATTATTACCCTCGCCTCGATCATGTTTGTCAATATATTCTCCATTTCAACTAACGCATTCCCATCGGAAGTATCAGCTAGATCCAAAAATAGATGCTTATACGCATCTGCGGGTATCGCATTAAATGAACAAAATTGAAAAAAAAAAATATTAAAATCCGAAGGAACAACAGAGAAGAACGTGGAATACCTATGCAGAGGGCATAGATTTTTCAGATATGCAAGGTATATCTATATATATATATCTATATATATATATATGGGTACAAGCGCGAAACTCTCTGCATAGGTGGTCAATTATTTGCATACCAGTTGCCTGTTCAACCACATGCTCCTTCAGCTCCTGATAATTGGTGACCAACAAATGGTCGATGTGATCGGAGACATCTTTGAGAAAGGCGCAGGTGTCCTCGCCGGAATACATCAGTCTCTCCTTGGCATAGCGCATCCCTCGACTGATCTGTTTATTGGCAATGAACGCAATGATGGTCCCAATTCTGCAATTGCAATTGCAATTGCAATTAGAAACAAATCCCACTCAGACACCCGACATTTCAGACTTACATCAATCCAATGAGCAGGAATATCATGATTACACTGCACACCACGCACATCTTACCCTCCCGTTGGGCAGTGCACGGCGGACAGCCTCGTTTGCAGCGACACCAGCATAGAGAGCAATACAATATCCTGTAATTAGATTCAATTCGATTCAATTCTCTGCAACTATTCGACTATTCGACTATTTGACTTACCCAAGGATCGGTATGGCCAACATGAGTAGTAGGAAGAACAGGAGCAAGACGATTAGCAGCTTGTTGGCGGCAAGCATAGGCTTCCAGTCGTTCGATATCGTCCTGCGCTCCATGGTTAGGGTGCTGCCGTTCGAAACCGAAATATAATCTACAACCGAGGCAGATGCATTACGATGCCCCAGCGTGCCTGCGCCTGTATGTAATTGTATACGTACCACTTAAGTGAAAGTTGTCGGGGTTAAAGAGAACTTGAAGAAGACCATGTGCTAAACCGTAGACTGGAGTCATGCCCATAAACGAGGGTTTGCTAATATTTCTATATCTTGGCCTCGGCACGTAATCGCTATAGATTGGGTCTGGCACATGGCGCTGGCCGAGCTGCTCGTGAACGGTACCATGTCCCGGATAGCCCTCGCGCCACACCGTCTCCTCGGCATGGGCGACAAATATATGAAGAGCGCACGCGACCAGACATTGCACCAACCAGTTGACTGTCTTCATCTTGGGCGAGTTTCTTGCCCTCCGACACAAATGTAAAAAATTATAAAATAAAATTTAACAATTACGATTTCTCATACGTTTTCGGTTTGCATCGAAATTCGAATCGAGTAAAATTTAAAATGAAATAAATAAATAGATTCAAATACGAAATCTGAACCATACAGTGTATTAAAAAAAAATAAAATGAGCACTTTGTTGATCTAGCAAAAGCATTTCAACAATTTGACACTTAAATCAGAAAAGTCTAGATCGAACTTTAAAAAAAGTCTTTCCACAATTTCATAGAATCCACGCATTCGGGTGAAAGCGGAACCTGCAAACGAAGGCTGCGCTTGCTCTGACCTTTTTCGATACTTGTTGTCCGATTTTTCGAAATTTTCGTGTCTGTTAATTTAACTTGTAGTAGGCCAAGAAGTTAACTATCCGACTAAATCAATGTCAAGTACCATTTCAATTTGAATGTCTATTTCTCTACAAAATTTCTGATTTGGCACTGTTTGGCATAAATTCTTATATTCAGCTACAATTTGATGCTTACTTATTCTCGCTTATGTTTGGAGACGTCGCTGGATGATGCACCCAACCCAGTTATTTGGATTGGGGTGTCTATGCAGGGGCAGTCGCCGCCATCCTGTTGGCCACCGCCGCAGATGACGATCGGATGGGGCCGATATGGGAGGCCTGAGCAGGTCGGGCAGCTGAGGGATTGTCAGATCGTTACGGTCTGGCAGTCGTAGCTGGTAATCGGTAATGGGACTAGACTCTACTTACTGGTGGTAACCATCGCGCTCCAGATATACGATTTTGGCCATATACACTGGATATACCCTATAGAGGCAGATCAGTCGATGGGCCACATAGAGGATCGGTATGAGCAACAGGCAGCAAAGCAGTACGCCCACCCAGAACGCATTCTGCAATTGATCACGATATTAATGGGTATCATAATTGGATGAGTTTTGGCTACTTACGATCGGGTCAATCAGATGCTCGCAAATGTAACCAATACTTTTCGTATAGAGATCCGATAAATGCGCACAGCGACCAACGTTATTGCTTTCGGATATAACCATTTCCAGATAACGATCCGTTTGTTCGGCAATCGACTCCGTTAAATTTTTGCCAAGATTGTTGATATAGTCGACGCCCTTCTTGTTTATGAACTCTTGTGAGCGTACTATTGCATCAATCAGTGGCTAAAAGGTTTCATTAAAATTCCGGTGCAACTTTTCTGTTAAATTTTCACTTTTCAAGAAATCGATAAGAATTGATTTTCGAATAAGGTTTTGAGCTGCAGTTAATAGGTATACCTTACATAGTTTATTTTATGGATATTTAATTTGAACTTATCTTAACATATGGGAATATTACCAGGTAGAAAGTGAATTAAATTGGCATCAATTTTGAGGACAATCTGGCTTAGGTTCAAAAATCATAAAAATATGCGTCTCTATAAAACAAGAATATTAATATCGTGAAAATTTAAATTGACATGGACCAAGTCGGCTGTTGATTCTCATTAAGAATTAACATGTATAATTCTATAGGAACAGAGAAGCCTGCACCTGTACGTAATTTCAATGGGTATATTAGTCTACATACCCCTGACAACTATATTAGATCTTATAGAAATATAGTCTAGAACAGCCCGAAGAGATATCTTCATTGTTATTCCTATATATATATAGATGAGAGAACCATGTGGGATTCCATTTATATACCCAAGAGCGTGCTTAGTTCGCACATGGCCCGTGGCTTTGATTGGGGCGAACAGGCCTGACGCACAGCCATTTCCCAGGTGTCCAGCAGATGCGAGAGTGAATAGTTCTTTGGCAGCTTGGACATGCGCGCTATCAGTGCCTGTTGCACAGTTTGCAGGAACGGCGTGGCCGAATATTCCTGTTCGGTGAGCGAGCAATCGGGCGATTGCCATGGATACTCCTCCGGCACGCTAACACTAACCGGCGGCACGCTGGGCAAACGCTTGTCATCCAAGCAGCATATCAAACGTATTGTCTTGTTATTGTTTTGTGCGGTCGTGTCCAGTTTGACCTTAAACTTGGTATCGAGCCGTGCAATCTCGCCCTGCAGCACATGCGGCACATCCTGCTCAAATGGCGTGGTCTTTTCCTCAAGGCGCGGCTTCTTTGACGGCACGGGCGCGCATATATCTGTGCCAAAGAGCAGCTCCAAGCTGGGCCGGAAGGTGCGATGCAGCGTATGATTTGCCAATGGGCTCTGCAGCGTCGTATTTATGACCTCCAGCAGGGGATTGGACGATTTCTGTTGGAGTGCTCAAAGTTAAGAGGGCGATTTTACGGTAGAGAATTTGACTTACGCCAAACTGCTGACCCGAGTAGGAGACCAGGTCCATCTTTTCCAGCGCCTTCTCACACTTGAGCAGCGTATCCAGCTGCACACGCTGCGTGGGATTGCATAGAATCTCCAGCAATTTGCTCATCTTGGTCATCTTTTCTACATCTGCAAACGGAATTACAAATTAGAATGCTGAATTTCCGTCAAATTGCCGTCACTTACTGGTGCCATCGTTGCTGATCTTGCCCAGCATACGCTTGAGCGGCTCAATATATTTGGTCAGCTGCTTGTATTTCTCTCTATAGAGCGCCTCCTCTTGCGGATTAAACGGACTGTTGCCTGTCACCTGACCGGGCGTATTGATCGATGCGCTCGGCGATTGCTGGCGTATGTTGCGTTGCGTGTTCTGCATCATCATTTGCGGACTGGATTGCGGCACCAAGGCCGGGCTGGGTATCATTTGTGGTGTGGGCATCTGGGGGGTTGGCGGCTGTTGTGTGGGCGTCTGGTTGCCCACTAATTGCTGTTGTTGCTGCTGCTGCTGCTGCTGTTGTTGTTGTTGCTGCTGTTGTTGTTGTTGTTGTTGTTGCTGTTGCTGCTGTTGTTGTTGCTGCTGTTGTTGCTGCTGTAATTGCTGCAGCTGTTGCTGCTGCTGCAATTGCTGTGCATCCGCTGGTGAGGGACTGGAGCGCATGAAAGGCTGCTGCGGCTGCTGCTGGCCGCCAACCACACCGCCGCGATTGCCCGCAAACATTTGGCCCGCCTGGCCCATGCCCATATTTGGCTTTTGCTGCATATTGGGCGGCATATTGACATTCATGCCGGCCATGGGATTCATAGCGCCGCCACCCTGTTGCACCGCATTGGGCGGCAAGCCACCGGGTCCGCCCACCTGCTGCTGTCCGGCCGGTCCGCCCACAACATTATGCTGTTGCTGCTGCTGCTGCATATTGGACGGCATGCCCTGCATGCCCTGGTTCATGCGCATCATCGGATTGCCCATGCCCATCTAATATATAATTTATGAATATTTAAACAATTTTGCATGCTGACACACTACTCACCACCATGGGCGACATTTGGTTGGGCATGCCGCCGGCTGCACCGCCAGTTGGTCCACTATTGGGTCCCGGGCCCACCATTTGATTGGGCATGCCGCCGGCATTGCCCACAATCTGGCCTTGGCCCTGCGAAACGGCGGGTCCCATAGCAGTTAGTTGCATGCCGCCAGCGCCACCGCCAGGTCCATTGCCGCCAGCCATTTGCTGCACTTGTACCATTTGCTGTCCCCCGGCGCCGGCGCCCATGGGCAGTTGGCCACGTATATTGGGCATGGGCTGCATTTGCTGTTGGCCGGGTCGCTGCTGGTTCAGTGTTTGCAACAAATTGGAGGCAGTACCCGGTCCACCGGGACCGGCCATTTGATTTGGGCCCGGCGCGCCGCCCATTGGCATCAGTTGTGGATTGCGATTGCCCTGAGAAGCCAAGTTTTGCAGCGCATTCAACGGATCCTGCATGATATTCTGTTGTCCCATTTCGGCGTTCGACGGGGCAGGCTGTTGCTGTTGTTGTTGCAGCTGCTGCTGTTGCTGCTGTTGTTGTTGCTGTTGTTGTTGCTGCTGCCGTTGTTGTTGTGGTTGAGATTTGCGCAGGGACGCGTCCTTGTAGTGCATAAACAATTTGGCTACCAGTCCCAGATACTCATCCTTAGTGTGTGACTTGCGAAAAATATGATTTTCCATCATGCTGGCGTTTTTATTGGGCTCCGGCCCATTTTGGGGCAACATGTCGTGGCTGCCACACATAGGAAAGCCTTATTAAGAAGACATTATCTTGAAAAAAGGACTACTCACATTTTGGAAATGACATTCTGACGAAAGTTTTGGCTCTGCCACTCTTCCGCCATGTTTCAATTTATCAATTAAGCTTTGATTAAACAAATTTATTGAGATTTTTAATACAATTTACGTACTCGCGTTCGCAATTTTTCGCTTGATTTTCACAATTACTATCGATAGCCTATTTCGATTTATTAATTTGTTATCGGTACGTGGCAACGCTGCGCTTGTGTTTACATATTGCAGTAGTTTGCTGACACTATGTGGCAGCGCTATGCATGTGTTTACCATACAATTTGTTTTTGACAGTGTGGCAGCCTGACGCCCAACAGTTATTTCTGGCGCGTAAATTTAGGCTTGAGAAAAATAAACAAAAACCAGCTAATTATGAGTTGGCGCTCACGTGTCTAATAACTGTAAATACAGAACGACATATTCAATTAGCACCAACTCAGGCTACTGTATATGATGGCTGCCGAACAATTAACTGACTAAACCACCTGTATGAAGTTCTCTCGCAGCACACAGACACAACACAAACACGAACAACAACACAGAGAACATTCGCGCGCTCTAAACTTTTACTAGCTTTCGTTTTGGCGCGTGCTTCTGCTCCGGCTCACCGTTTTTTACCGTTGCTCATTCGTATCTTGACTTTCAGACAGAGCGCACGTCCGTTTGCTCGTTGCTCGTTCGGCGGCTCGTTCGTGTGTGTGTGTTTATTTCTTTGCGTTGTTATTAACTTTTATATTTACTACGTCTACGTTCCTCGTACCTACATATGTACATACATACATATATATATATTGTGTGTGTCGGTTATATTTAGTTCTCTACAATTTACGCGCTGCTATTTCAATTCGCCACGCTGCTGCCACCTGTACAGCGTTCGGTTAGTGTCTTCTGCCCGCCCGCCCGCTTGCCCCAGCCCCGCTCCAACAACAGCAACAATAATAATAATAATTGGAAACGCTGTCAATGCCGGCTGCATTCAAAGTCGCGTTTTGTGTACGTGTATCTGTATCTCTAACTTGAATTCGTGCAAAAAGCGTCGTCGACACCAGCTGAGGCCACCAAATTACACAAAAATTGTTTCATAAACGTATCTTTTTACAAAACAACAAACACAACAACAACAACAAAATAGAGTGTATTATCAGTTACCTTGGCAAATGAAAATTTGTGCCAAGCAGCAGCAGTGGGGCAGCCGCGTCGCTGCCAACGTTGACGTCGCGCGTTTTCATGTGTAGTGCGTACAAAAATGATAATTGAATGCAATAAATAAAAAGTCAAAGCAACAATAACAACAAGAATATTATCAAATTATATCACAACTAATAGTGCACATACAAGCGCACAACAACAATATAATCAAGCGAAACGGCAGATACAAAACAAACACACACAACAATAACAACTAACTAACGGCAGAACGTTTAAGTGAGCAGCAGCAGCGACCGCCGCAGCGACAGAGGCAGCGACTGCGACAGCGAAAATAGCAACAAAATGTCGAAAAACTGTTGAGGTTCGTATATATGTATGTATGTGTGTGAATGTAATGTTAACTGTGTATATGCTTTATGAATGCTGAGCGCTCATCAATGTGTGTGTGTGAATACGTGGTTTATTTGCTGCTTCAGTGCATACGCTGGCTTCATGCTGCCCCAATCCCCCTGCGTTCTCTTGCACATTCACTCTCTCTTTCTCTGCCTCGTGCGCTCTTTCCCACTGCCCTCTGTGTGCGAGTTTGGCTTATGCTGCTAGCGTCGCAGTCGACGCAGACTTGGGGTGCTCTACTTATTCTGTTCTTTTGGCATTTTTTTGCGCCCCAATAGCGACAGCGACAATGTTGATTACAGCCTACAGCCTAAAATGTTCCCCCCTCCCTGCCCCCTCCCACCAAACACACACATACAAAGGCAACGACAAGCAACAACAATGGCAGCGGCAACAGCAAAAGTGTGTTGACATTTTTGTTGTTGCTGCTTTTGTTGTGCTTTTCCGTCTGTTTTGCTCTATATGTATGTAGCTGTATATGTGTGTATATGTGTGTGTCTTTGCCTGGCAGGGGTAGCGTACGTGTTTAAATTATCAAGCCGAGCTTGTCAGCGCTGGCAGCACGCATGCACATACACACATACATATGTATAGGTATGTAAATAGAAATACAGCTGTATAGCTGTGTGCGCACATGTATATAGGCATAAATACATATGTTTGTATGTAACTGTGCCGGTGGGCTGGAACTTGGACTGGAAGTGCGCATAGGGCTTCAATTCACGACTACAAATGACAAATAGACAAACAGACAGATAGACAGACTGACGGTGGGGAGGACGCAACCTATTGATTTTCAATCAATATTTATGGTGGCTTCCCTCACCCTTCGCTTCCGCTCGTGGCAACTGTGTCTTTTGCTTTGTGCTTTGGTCTTTTCAGCTTTTTGTTGTTTTTGTAGTTGTTTTTTTTTCGTACGTTTTGTTCGATTTTTGAAATTTGTTTTGCATTTGAACTGCTATTGCTTCTTCTGTGGCTTCGGTGCCGACGCCGCTGTCGCTGTCGCTGTGGCTGCTTTCTGCTGCTTCTTCGTTCTCTATTCTCGTTTCACCTTTGAGCGACGCGAGACTCACTCACGCATGCATAATCAACAAATGTGTGTGCATGTGTGTGTGAGTGCGACGGCGCTGCCAACTTTGCTGCTGCTGGTTGTGCTGGCTGTTGTTGTTATTGTTGTTATTGTTGCTGTTGTTGCTGTTGCTGTCACTGTAATCGCGGCTTTTTTATTATCATTTGATTGCGCTGCTTTTATGGATGCCGTTGTTGTTATTTTCCTGCTGTTTGACGCCTATTTATGTGTTTATGTGTGTGTGTGTTTTTTTGTTTTTGTCAATTCCCTTTTTGCAACGCAACCGCAAAACAGTTTTTGGCTTTGTTTTTGTATCAATTAGTCGCTGTCGCTGCGTTGTTCAATTTAATTTTTTGTTTTTTAATTTGCTTTGTGGCCACGTTTGGTCCTATTTTCACCTGGACTGTCAGAGCCAGCGGCGCAAATCATTTGCTGCACATTTTCTCAATTTGTATTTTGTTTGCTTGTTTGTTTGTCTGCTTTTGTGCCGTGTTTGTTGTTGCAGTTAACAGTTGCGACGTTCGCCGTTCGCCTGTCGCTTGTTTGTCACGCTTCACAATCGAACCGTTAGGCAAAGTCACCAGCCGTTAATGGGAGCGTGTACTGCATTGAGGGCGTCGCACAGTGGAGCGAAATTAAAAGAAATCAGGACATATGTAAATGGAATTTGTTTTGTTCGGGCTATGATCTTGCGAAATTTAATGTTCAACTAATTTAAAACCAATCCAAAATCAGAACATCCTAATTCAGTATTGTTCAGAAACGTAAATCGGCATTTTCAATGTACCGTTAAAGATTTCTTAAGCGGTAAATAATTTTGTGATTAAGCGAGCCTTCACTGTGAATCAATAATAGTACTTGGAATCGATATTTCGCAATAAATTTAGCATTTATTTATGATTTTTGAATACCCGTACTGTAACTTTTTTCAATTTCTCAGCTTCAATATGAGATGTTTATCCATTAGTCGCTCCACTGTGCCGCAATGCAACTGTCATGTTTGCTTACGAGCGTGTGTGTGTGTGTGTACATGCCTGCCTTTCATTTCCGCCGGCGCTGCAGCTGTCAAATGTGCAGAGACGTCAGGTACCAGCTATCCCTGCCCACAGTCCATTTCCCACACCCTAAACCTCTTGGGCTAGCCAGCCGGCGCTTAAGTTGTGTGCGCCTTGTTTTCTCACCACGGCAACCACTTGTTTTCCCAAGCACAACAACAACGCACACACACACACAAGCAAAAAAAAAGCGCTCACTCATTCACTCTCTTACACACAAACACAAACACACACACACATACATTCAAAACTGTGAATGGCTTGTCATGTGCCAGTGTCCCGTTTAGTTTCAACCCGCCCTGCTTTAAGCAGGACTTTCCGCTCTGTTTGTATGCGTCGCCCGCGTCGACAGCGGCGCCAGCGTCACAGCTAGCGTCAGCATCTGCGTCGACGCCAGCCGTAGCGGCATTCACATTCCGTTGCGTCTCTTACGTCGCGGCAACAGATGAAAAAGTTTCACGCGCGCACGCATCGCAAAGTTTAAATAGAATTGCGTTGTTTTTGTTTTTATTTTCGGGGTTATTTAATTAAAATTACGCATACGCAGCGCTGCCCGATTCTCAGCCTGTAACTATACTACACTATCGAGCGCGGTCAGGCAACGAGCACGTGCCCATAAACTACGGTAATGTGCAACGAGCTATTTCTCTCTCTCCCTCTCTCTCTCTATTCCTCTCGCTGTGCATGTGTGTGTGTGTGTCTGTGTGTTTGTGGGCGTGTGTGAGGCTGTTGCGCGCGTTTTTTTCTTACTCTGTCGCCTTGGACATCAACATATGGCAGCATAATTGAGTCGATTCTGAAGTCGCAGTCGATTTGTGCATAAATTTTGTTGTTTGCTGTGCAGTTTTGTTGTTTTATTCAATACGTCGTTTATGGTGTTACCCAATTGAATCCAACATCTGGCCTGGTTACCGTTACATACATATGTATGAAAACAAATGTAGAAATTCCCTTTTCGATTTCCAACTTAAACTTCCGGTTAAAACTGCATAAAAACAGTGTGTTTTTGAAGTCCACGAACTAAAAATTAATACTTTTTTTTGGGTTTCGAGCTGTGCCTGTATCAATGTGACCTATGTAAACTAAGCTCTTTGTGATGCTATTCCAACGAAATCTAGTACAGACATTTTTTACACCCTGAACCCATTAAAAATGGGTAAAAAGGGGTATAATGTATTTGTGCAAATGTATGTAACAGCCAGCAGTAGGTATATCCGACCCCATAAAGTATATATAGTCTTGTCTATACGTATGTCTGAACGCAAGGATCTCAGAGCCTATAAGAGCTAGAGACTTGAAATTTGGAACGTAGGTCCGCCTAGTGCCCGTGCATTACGAGTCTGTATACGAGAATCGATAACTTGCCCCGTTTCCAAGAAATTGATAAAAATCGATATCGAAATTCTGTTTTTTGAGCAAATCTCATAAGTTATAGAAGCTAGAGTCATTAAATTTGAAATTCAGCTCCTTGAATTGAATATATATATCAAGTATCTTTAATTTTAACGTTCTGCATTTGGTGTTGTAGAAGAGGGTTCAGGGTATCCCCTAGTCGGAAATTCCCGACTAGAGCCTCTTACCTATTTGTTAGTGTTGGATCGTATTAGTATATCATATAGCTAACTTAAGAGCGATCGGCGAGAGAGAGAAAAGGGTTTATTTTTTTAAACGAAAAACTTTATTGTTCCTCCAGAAATCACTCCCAAAGGTAACGATACCTAGACACAGTTTTATAGAGATCAGGTGTATCAAATATTGCTATTCTCTTTTAAAAGTTCAAAAAAACCAGAGTCAGCAGCTAGCAAGTTCTATAATATGTGTACCATATATAAAACGCTTGGCTACTCGAGTTGAAGCGCATCTAAATGTAATTAACCAATTAAAAGTTTTCTCAGGATTTGGGCATTTCTCGTAGGACTCTCAATGGAAATGGAGAAAATTGAATTGGGAGTTCAGAATATTGTATTTCGCATTTCTCATATCGCAGAGTATTACGCTTTTTTCACTGTCATTTCGATTTTCGATCTCACTTATCGATAAACATAATGATGATGATTTAGCCAATTCGATACGCTCAATTAGACTAAAAGCCCATCAATGTAGCTGCTCAATAGGTGATTAGTGCAGGGTATCCGATCGGCCCCCAAATGCAGGCCCAGCCACAAAGCCAACAACAAAGCCTTCCACATATCATAACAGACGTGTATTCGCGAACAAACGAAAGTGAATTAACATAATGAATTCCGTGTACTTTACTGGAGCTGCTCCGTCGTGCCTTTATCATGCCAATTGCCAGCGGAGGCGCACGGGGCGTATGCGTGATGCGGCGGCAGAGGCAGCTGCAACTTGCGCTTTCGCTGACCGCTGCCTGCTGCGCCTGCTGGTCACAGGTGGTGGTCAGCGGCGGAGTCGTCGCCGTCGGATTTCGTGTCAGTGGGGAAAACCTAAACGCAGTTCATTACATATGCAAGGCTGTCTAGCTGGGGGCGTGGTCGCCACAATTAATATTTTCGCTTTGAAGTGCATGCGTGTGTGAGTGTGCGTGTGTGCGCGTGTGTGTGTGTGTGGCACACTTTGTTGTGGGCGTTGACATTGAGCGTCGTCCGGCGTCACGCCCAACCGTGTACTCCAGACGTGCTGTCGTCGACCCACTGTCCCTTTGCGCCACTGCACTGTGGCACTGAAATGAATCGTTCTCTGTTAAAAAAACACTCGAAAGAGTTCGTTTTTTCTGCAAAACAAAATATATTTAACATTACCAGTTTCTGTTAGGATAACAGCCGTGAACTTAGCATATGTTAAGACAAAAACTGTTGAATAGGAAAATGTTAAGATTACAATTTTAAGGCTCCTTTCATGCTGAATTGCAAATTACATTAAGCTCTAAGGTTCTGTCCAAATAATAAAGTTAACACAGCCAATTGCTGTTAAGATAACAGCTGTATGCTAGCTAAATATGTTAAAAATTAAAACTGTTAAGCGAAAAGTTGACAAAAATATTCTCAAGCTGCTTTCTTGATGAAATGCATCAACCTCTATTGTGGCTTATCATTAAAAAAGGTAACATAGCCACTTTCTGTTAAGATAACAGCTGTTAGCATACGTTAAGATACAAGTTTAGCTGAATTGCAAAATATATCAAATTCCATGATTGTTTTCAAAATAATAAAGTTAACATAACCAATTTATGTAAAGATAACAGCTGCTAAGCTAGCATATGTTAAATTAAGAATTGTTCAAGGAAATGTTGCGAATAAAACTCACAAGCTGCTTTCTGCTGAATTGCAAAATACATAAAACCTGCTTAACAAAAAAATAGAAGCTAACATATCCAATTGCTGTTAAGCTAGCATATGTTAAAACAAAGACTGTAAATGTTAAATGTGGTCTGTTATTAAGCTCCAACACAATTCTTAGCAAAGTTAGGATAAGAATTCTTCTGTTTGTCTGCCAAAAATCAGGAACTTCGCCTTAAAGTAAATGTCTGCAAGACTTGAAAAAGAAACTTTTCAAAAATATAAACAATGTATAATTATTTCGTTTTTTATCGCGTTTATTCCATTGTGCATTGTCCATTCTCGCGCTGTTTGCGCTGCGCTGGGTGGCGGCAATCGTTAATATTTAATGAACAATCGCATTTCACAAAGTTGAAGCGAGTTCGTTTCATTTTCTGCTGGCCAGAACGGGTTGGTACTAAAGAGGGCAAAGGGAATAGGGTGGGGAGGGGTTTATTCCCATCCAGCATTTAGACATCAACCCCATTGACACACTTGAAAGAGGACCTGCGCGTGGCTCGTCGTGCCGCGAAATGCGACATTTATGACCATTAAAGTCGCCAGCAGCAGCAACAACAACTACAACAACATCGACAACAACAACTACAACAACATCGACAACAACAACAACCCCTGAAGGGTTGGGGCTGGACTGTGGCTTGGGGCTTTTCCATTTTTCATTTAAATGCCATGGAATAATTGCTTTTTCCTGTACTGCAGCGCACATGAGTTTGTCTCTGTGTGTGTTGGCAAGCGGGGGGAGGGGGGGGTGGGGGTGGGGGGTTGAGGCAAGTGGGCACTGTAAACAAAGCATTACTCACACACACACACATGCTTATACACATACACACATATATACCCCTATATAGCCGCGTAAACAGTCAACTTTCGTTTTGATGCCCTTCAAAAAACAGCATAAATAACTATGTTTCAATCATGCATTAAAAAAGATTAGATCCCAACAGACATTTGACAGGTTTATAATCTATATAGAAAGCGGTCTTAAGCGACTTCCATATTAAAATAAAAGTACAATGTTCGACCGGGAAAAGCTAATGATAAAGTAGTCCGACTTTAGACAAATAAAAATGTCTTTCACTAAAAGTTCTTCAATATAAACCTCAATTTTTGCTAGCTTATTTTTTATGTTTTATAGTGTTTCGATACAGTAGAAAGCGGCATATCTAGATATATATATACTACTGGAATGATATCTTCTGTTTATATATATATATATATATAAATATATACTGTTAAAGGAGAGCTAACAGAAGCTTCAATTCCAGGTTTCAACAAGAGAACTTCACAGAATGTTCCGTTTTTCATTTGCCCAACCTGTAATACCCTATAAACAATCCTTTGTATATTCTTAAATTCTTTTTGGCGTATCTTCTCTAAACCCTTAAACATTCCATAATCTATAATATATTTATGCATATAATCTATAATATATTATACATATATATATATCATATATATTGTCTATAATGCAATCGTATACAGAACGATAAATGCTTCTTTTTCGAGGCATCGATTTGTTGTTTGAGCATAACTCGAAGATTATAAGAGCTAGATACGAAAGCTTTGGGATGTGGGCGCACGTTTAGCATATACCTATATATCTCAAATATTTTACTTTTTGAATAAATAAGCGCATTCCTCACTAAATATGAAGAAGAATTGGGCGTAGAATCGTACTTTTTTAGGTACAGACTTACGCTGTGTATGCTTTATATATTTTTTAGACCTCCAAATTTCATAAAGATCGGACTATAAACACCGAAGTTAATCGAGAAAGCATTTAACTTGCAAAGTGTAGGGGAAAAAGTGGGGCAGAAGGAAGAAAGGAGATAAGAAAGAACGAGAAGGAAGAAAGAGAAGGAAGTGAGAGAAGGAAGTGAGAGAAGGAAGTAAGAGAAGGAATGAAGAGAAGGAAGAAAGAAAAGGAAGAAGGGAAAGAAGGAAGAAAGAGAAGGAAGAAAGAGAAGCAAGAAAGAGAAAGAAAAAAGAGAAGGAAGAAAGAGACGAAAGAAAGAGATGAAAGAAAGAGAAGAAAGAAAGTGAAGGAAGAAAGAGACGAAAGAAAGAGAAGGAAGAAAGAAACAGAAGGAATAAAGAAAAGAAAGAACGAGAAGGACGAAAGCGAAGGAAGAAAGAGAAGGAAGAAGAATGTTTGTGACAGCCGCTTGGCCTTAGGGTATCTGGTAGTCGTGCACTCCCTGCTCTTACTTTTCCCAGCTTTTATTAATGTGCCTTCTTGACTTGACTTATGTGTCGTCATTTTTTTGCATTTGCAGCTGGCAACATGGACTCGGCCGCCATGGCCATTGCGGTGGGAGTCGGCGGCGGCGGCGCCTCTGGCCCTGGCAGCAGCAGCAGCGCCAGCAGTGGTTATGGCAGTGCAACGACCACGCCCACAACGCCAATAGGCTCGGCCGGCGGCGGCGGCCATTATGAGGGACAGGCAACGTTGCCAATGGCAACAATTGCCACGGTGGCGCCCTTCTACAGCGAAGCCCTGACCAGCCTGGACGCACATCAGCGACAACAGCAGCAGCAGCAGCAGCAACAGCAGCAGCAGCAGCAAACGCACTTTTATCATCAGAACTATAATTATGGAAGCCTCGATGCGTACAACTACAGTGCCTACAATTATAATGCGAGAGGCTACGACAAGCTGCCGCCCAAATACAACGGCAGCGGGAGCAGCAGCGGAGGCGGTGGCAACATGATGAGCAGCAGCGGCAGCAGCAGCAAGCCGCAGGCGGCAGCCACGCCCTTTTATGCACAGCCCCAAGCGCTGGGCATGTCCATGTCGATGCCGAGCAGCTATGCCTACGAGGCGTACAAATACAAGATGCCGCAGCAGCAGCAGCAGCAGCAGGTGCAGCAGCAGCAGCAGGTGCAGCAGCAGCAACAGGTGCAGCAGCAACATGTGCAGCAGGTGCAATATCAGAGCATGGCCATGCAACAGCAGAAGCCAAGCCAACAGCAGCAGCAGCAACAGTTGCTGCCACATCAACAGCAGCAACAGCAGCACTTGCAACAACAACAGTTGCAGCTGCAACAGCAACAGTTGGCGCCGCAGCAGCAACAGTTGCTGCCGCCGCTCGAGCCCAACTATGCCGCCATCAAGCCGAGCAGCCGCTATCCAACTATGCCGCCAGCTGCGTCGGTCTATGCCAGTCCAAGCGCACCTGGCAGCGGCCCGGCTCAGGTAGCCGGCGGCGCCTATTACGACAAATATGCCATGTCACTTTACTCGCCGAATGGCGGCGGACTGAGCTTTGGGGCGCCCGCGCCGCCGCTCTACAGTCCGCCGGAGCTGCAGTCGGCGGAGTCCGCCTATCGCAAGTCCAGCTGGAATGTCGACTACAATGCGGCCAATTGTCGCGCTGCGATCAATGGGAGCGGGAGCGGGAGCGGCAATGGGAACGGAGGCGCCTATCATCATGGAACAGGCAGCGATTTGTACTACAAATACGAGAAGTACACAACGAGTCAGACGTCGTCGGCGCCGGTGAGTAATCCGTATCCGGCGAGCATCAACTATGGCGCACGCGGCGCCATGTGGCCACCAAATCCGGCGGAGCAGGTGGCGCCGCCCAGCGCCCGGCAGAGCTGCTGCACGCAATCCGCGTATCCGCAGCAGAGCTGTTATTATCCGCGCAATGGCTACGGAACGCAGCCGCAGCCACATCCTCCGCAATATCCCAGCCAGACGAGCGGCGGTCACAAGCTGAAGCATCCGACTGATCTCTACGGCAGCTACGAGCCGCTGCCTGCCCAGCTGGGCTATGGCTATGCACAGCCGGGCGGCAATGCCGGCGGCGCGCCCAATCCTGCCACGCCCAGCAACAGTAGTCGCGGCTATGTGCCGCAGATGGGCCTGAACATGGGCCTGAACATGGGCATGGGCATGGGCATGGGCGTGGGCGTGGGCGTGGGCATGGGCTTGGAGGCGAACGTGAGCACCGCCTACTACAATGATCTCGGCAGCCTGGCGGACAGCGGCTACGGCCAGCAAACGCATCGAACGCCGCTGGAGTATGCCTATCGGAAGCGTGCAAATGCCAGCTCCGGCTGCTATCTCACCAGCAATCTGGAGGCGCCCGTGGACAGCTACGTGGGCTACGATCTGCACGCAAACTCGGCACACTATGCGCCGCAGTCGCAGCAGCTGCAGCTGCAGCAGCAGCACAAGGAGCAGCCGCTGCCCAGCTCGAATAGCTCCAATATACGTGACTTTCTGTCCAGCTGGAACGATGACGAGGAGGAGCTGCCGCCGGCGCCGCGACTGGACTCCGAGCTACAGCAGGTTGCCGTTGTTGCGCCCGTGGCAGCTGGCCCGACTCCCGCTCCGGCTCCAGCTGCCGCTCCACTTGCCACGTCCACGTCCAGCTTTATGTACGAGACGCTGGCGCCAGCGGGTCCGGTGGCTACGCAGGTCAATGATTGCCCCAGCATGAATCTGCCCGATATCATCATCGATCATCATCACGAGAAGTGCAGTGTGGGCCAGGCGGAGGACTCCTTTGGCAGCTTCGATGTGGAAAAGGAACTGGACGAGCTGCGCCTAAAGAAGTCCGGCATCGAGGCCAGCGCAGAATCGCAGCCGGGCGACACGGATGCTCTCGCCGAGATACTCAGAGAGCCGGCTGTAGCGCCGGAGGAGCCAGCACTGGAGCTGGCCCTGGCCAGCCCCCTGCTGGAGCCGCCCGCCATTGAGTTCGATCAGAGCAACAGCAACTCAAACGGCTCCACGTTCGAGAAGGAGTACGAGACGTTCATACACAAGATCGGCGGCAGCGACAGCGACACGGAGCCGGCCAATGCCCAGGATGACAGCGAGTATCGCCACAAGTTCTACAAGCGCAAGCGCAGCACAACGGAGCCAGTGGAGGAGGCAGCAGCTCCTGTCGAGTTAAGCTCCGCCCCGGCAGCTGCTCCTGCTCCTGCTCCTCTGTCGCCGAAGGCCTCGGCGCGTGCCAGTCGCCAGCGTGTGGCGCGTCGTCGTCGCAATCGCATCAAAATGCTGAAGATACTCGAATTCGAGAGTCCCAAGATCAAGCATCGCTTCTATTTCCGCACGCTCAAGCTGCTCCGTCGACGTTACGCCCTGAGCCGGACGCGGGAGAAGCGCGGGCAGCGGATGCGACGACAGCTGGCGCTGCGCACGGAGCATCGTTTGCCGCTGATCAAGCGGCAGTCCGTGAAACAATTGGGCGGACGGAGTCCGAGCGAGGGCGCCATTTCGGATCGGGAGACGGTCATCAAGCGTGGCTACGCCTTGCGGGAGCAGGAGCAGCTGCCAGAGATCTTGGATGAGCAGCAGAATGGCTGCGACTCGAATCATACGCTGCAGTCCGTCGGCAGCTTCAAGGGCTTCGACGATGTCGAGAATACGAATCTGTCGCCGAAGGCAAAGCTGCAAGCGGACACGCAAACGGAAACGGAAACGGGAGTGGAAACGGAAACGGAAGTGGAACGAAATGTGGCCACGCCCATTTCGCTGCAGGCCAAGCAGCTGGAAATACAGCGCTGGCTGCATCAGAGCACGGAGCAGCCGGTCGAGCAAGGAGCCACGAGCATCATCTGCCTGAGCTCGGCTGCCTCCGCCTCCTCCTCCTCCTCCTCCTCCTCCACCACGTCCTCGTCCTCGTCTGCCAGTTCGAGCAGCACCTCGTCCAGCTCCAGCACGAGCAGCGACAGCGAGGAGGAGCGGCACAAAAAGCTGGCCAGGAGCAGCAGGAGCAGCGGCAGCTGCTGTTCCGGCGAGGAGAGCGACTTCAATGAGATGGCCGCGCTGGAGAAGGAGCTGTCGCTGCCCAAGCCGACGCCGGAGCCGGCGCTGCCCAGCAGCAGCGAGAGCCTGCCGCAAGTCTCCAACAATGACATAGCCAAGCTCAAGCAAATACTGGAGAGCGATGACGACCTCGAGGAGCAGCAGCGGGAGCGGGAGCAGCAGCGGCAGCGGGAGCGGGAGCCGACCAACAACGTACCAAAGCTAAGTGACCTTAGTAAAATTGCCTTAAATAGTTCCTTAAAAGATAGCGACATAGTCATAAGTGATCCGGGGGTGTCCATGGAGCAGGATCAGCAGACGACGCCAGTTACGCGTGAGCTGAGCGTCGAGGAGGCGCTGGCCGAGATGTATCAGCAAATAGGCGTCACCTCCGATGCGGAGGAAACGGAAGATGATACAGAAATTGTGGCCAAGCAGCTGGAAGGCGCCGCTGCCTCCGCCGCCGGCGGACAGGATGTGCTGCTTATCAATCTCGCCGAGATTTTCGACAACAACAGCAGCGACCTCTACGTGGTGCACTGCGACATGAACGAGAACATATTGGGCGTCGTGGCAGACGAACTGCAGCCGGAGGAGCCGGAACAGGAGCAGGCCAATACGCTGCAGCTAATCGAGCTGCTGGCCGAGCCGGAGACCCACTTCGATGCCACTCATCATCCGCCCCTTATCCATCACGAGGAGGTGGTGCCGGAGAACTACAAGAGCTTCGAGCGGCGACAGTTCCTCAAGTATCTCCATGGCAAATATGTCCAGAACAACATCAGTCGCTTCTACCACGCCCAGCGCGTGCTCAAGAAGTACAGGAGACGACGCCAGATCCTGGCGCGGAGGACGCGCTGTTAACCAAAGATAGCTGCAACACATACACACACACACACACACACACCCGAAATACCCTTCATCCTCCAGAGGAACTGGGAATCGGGATTTGCGGGCGAAGTTGTCGGAATTGTCGTTCTAGCGTCAAAAATCAACTTGGCGTGCCTAATGGATTAGAAATTTGAATTCAAATTATCCACACACCCTCACACATACACACACCCTCACACACCCTCACACACTCACCCTCACACACACACCCTTACACACACACCCTTACACACACATTTCGAGAATCTCAAAAGACTTGTTTATGTAAAATCAAATTTTTTGGCATTTCTTTTAATATGCATATACCCTATAATTATGCGCGCATATAGACATGCGTGCATATACCCTATATATACCCTATATTTAACTTATTTTAACAGTTATTCGCTTATTTAAATTGTATATATATATATGAAAGTATAGCAAAAACTTAGTTTCTCAATGCAAATATGGGCATATCCAGAGCCAGGCAAGTGACCTAAAATAACTGGAAGAAATTGCTGACTACGGCACGCCGAAGTTTGTATACCCTAACAGTTATGTGAAAAAAAAGTGTGCAGCAGGGTTATTTCCGAGTTTGGTCAAGCTACGTTAAAAGACAGCAAAGTTGAACAACTTTAAAATCTAAAAGAATCAAAACTCTTTTCTTACTTGTTTTTGTTTAAGCCCTAATTAGTTAATTTGATAATATAACATTAAGGTTTTATGGAACTCGTTAGTATAACAGACTCTCTCTTCAACGAATTGAAGATATATCCAATATTCTACAATCAGCAGACTTTGTCATTGAATCGAGTTGAACAAAAATTTAGAGTAGAAAAAGCTTCTTCACTAAATTTTGATTCATTCTGAACATGAGCTTTGTTACTTTTCATTGCTTGTCGCTTGTAATTCACAACTAGTTAAAGCTGCGAACGACTGAGAAGTTGCTTGAAAAAGTCTGGTCAACAGCAAAGTCTGTTGTCAATGGAACTGGAATTTTCTTGAACCAACTAAACAGAGTATTTTGATTGATTATTTATAAATTGTTTTTGATTAATATAACAATATATCCTTTGATTGCTTTTTCCTTAATATTACTTGAGCTCTGATTCACATAATTAGCCTAACTTTTCCTTTTGATTTGAAAATTATGTTCACGACGGAATCTGGCCTGGACATGCCCATATTAGCCGCACTATATTTAAATGTTAGGCATATAGATTATATACTTATTATATAGAAATACTTTAGATAATTGTGCAATATTTTGACATGCAATTAATGTGTTTTCAATTAATTTTAAAATTACAAACATTACAAATTCGAATCTCGTGCAGCTTAGTACAGCAAATGGGGCGGGGGCGTGGAGGGGGGGGGGGGCGGCGTACACCTGGCGTATACGCGATTAGCTACATATGTTTATGCGTGTGTATGTATGTGTGTGTGTGCTTGTGTGTGTGTGTGTTGGTGAAGCTCGCGTGCAATTAGGTTTTAAAATCGAGCGCATATGTCATTTCAGCCATATATATTAATACTTATCTATATATACTTAGAAACTTGTATGAGAGCGAGCGAGAGAGATAGAGAGAGAGCGTGAAAATTTATATTATTATTTTTTTTTATTATGCTTTTATCAGTTAAGTGTATCAGCATTTTAGTCGGTGCGGTTAAATTTAAAGCCGCCGCTCGTCAGAGGTCAAACAGCAGATAGCGAGAGATATACAGTTACAGATACAGCCAGAGATATCGAGATATATACTTAGGGTATATGTGTACCCATGTGTACCCATGGTATACTCTGTGTATGTGTGCGTGTGTGTGTGTGTGGTCTGTTCCTTGCGTGCTGACACACAAATTGTGTGTAATTATGACCAGGTACAGCCCGTTTTTTTTTTCAAGTTGATGGCCATGTGGTTTTCAAAAAAAAAACAAAAAACAGCTAAGCAGCAATACGCCCCGTTTCCCAAACTGTATACCCTGTTCGGTTAGGTTCAAAGCGAGCTTGATGCGCTCTTCGTCTGCGTTTGTCATTTATTTGAGCATTTTCTAAAAGCTTTCAATGTTTGTTTCAATATATACAAAGTGTAAGAATAATATTTGTAGACCACGCCCACTTCAGCGCCCACAAGCCTAAGTTACATATGTATATGCCCTGTTTTTAGTCTTACACACACACACACGCACACACACACACACACGCACTCTCCAGCCAAGCAGAGCATCCAGCAGTCGGCCTGGCTCGACTCTACACAATTTTACTTTGTTTATCATTGTTTTTAAAATAGTTGCTTTCGATTTAAGTTAAGATTTGCGCCAACTGCCTTTGTTCAATGAAGGCCACCAAAATGCAGCCTAGACCAAAAATATATAAAAATAAAATTAAAAAAATCAACAACAATAAGAAGAAGAAGAAGAGGTATACATACTATATAGAACGAGAAACTGTTAGATTTAGATTGTTAGATTAGCAATTGGTTCAGTTAGTTCTGTGCTTAGTTCAAGACTTTTGTTTTTGTTTTAGTTGCAATTTATGTTAAGTTGGGAATTGTTGAAAATATAACTAAATATATATATATATATAGACATTCGTATATATTTAGATAGATATTCGCGTCTGGAAGACTTTTGAATGGCCTTGTTTTTCACAGAGAATCATTTACAAATATTTATAATACTATATACTATATATAGTATATAGTATATAGACGGCGATCCGGAACTGTAGATAAACCAACTAATTTGTTAATAGAATTCGCAATGCAGCTGCTATTCGGATATGCTATGCTTTATATAGCACTATAACTATAACTATAGCTAGAACAGATCGGATATATAGCTAAACTTGCAAATTAGACTAAATAGAACAACAAATCTCTAGCAAAAAAAAACAAACAAACAAACACATTCCAAAGGACCAAAACAATTTAAAAAAAACCAAACACTAAGCAAATGTTATTTATATAAATGTATAAAAATATTATAGTATAAAAAAAAGAGGAAAAACTTTCGAGTACACGTTCTTTTTATTTTGTAACTCCTAATTCATCTAAAATTGTGCAATATTTTATTAACAAACAAAAAAAAAAGAAGAAAAGCAAAATAGTCGAATGTAATGCGCTTAATTTTAGTACAAAAGCAAATATCAAATGCAAAAATGCCCACTAAATGTAATAATATTTATTATACTACGATACGATCTATGCAAGCTGTAATATTATATGCCCCAATTCAAAATATATATAACTACAGATATATTTACATATATATCATCTAAATGTCCCACATTCTATATGTGTATAAATTTTAATAACTATAACTATTTATATGCCGTGTACATCTCGAGAGTTTTTTTGTTTGTTCATTCAATATCCTTTTTTTAGACCCTAAGCATTATACGACATGTCCAAATTGTGACTATATATGTATATATATACATACTTATATATGTAAATCTGAGTGTCTTTTTGAGCGTATTTTAAAAAAAATATTCAACATATTAGATGGAAAACTCCACGACAAAACAATTGATTGAAATAAATGTTTTATGTACATGTTATTGCAAAATGAAAAAAAATATGAGACTTATTCTTCCTATTTCTTCAAGCCAAATTGATCGGGAGGCCAAACCATGAACAAAAAGCCAAACCTCGTGAAAATCGGATGAGATTTGACCGAGTTATGGTTATTCTAAATAGCTGTGGAAGTTTCTATTTTTGTGTGTGTGTTTGTATGTGTGTGTGCATGTATGCATGTGTGTGTGTGTGTGGACGTGTGTGTGTTAGTGTATGCATGCATGTATGTATGCATTTATGTATATATGTATGCATGCATGTTTGTTTTCTAATACCAAACGCAGATCAAGCATATTTTTCGCTATGCTGCAAATTTAAATAAAACGAATTTCTGCCAAGTGCTCTACTCCTCGATTCTCAAGAATTCAAGTAGGCTCTGCAGCTTTTCATGCTTAGCTGGTGTAGTGTAGTGCTTTTTTTTTTGGTGTTTTTTTTTTGGTGTTTTTTTGGTGCTTTTTTTTTGGTGTTTTTTTGTATGTATGTATGTATGTATGTATGTATGTATGTATGTATGTATGTATGTATGTATGTATGTATGTATGTATGTATGTATGTATGTATGTATGTATGTATGTATGTATGTATGTATGTATGTATGTATGTATGTATGTATGTATGTATGTATGTATGTATGTATGTATGTATGTATGTATGTATGTATGTATGTATGTATGTATGTATGTATGTATGTATGTATGTATGTATGTATGTATGTATGTATGTATGTATGTATGTATGTATGTATGTATGTATGTATGTATGTATGTATGTATGTATGTATGTATGTATGTATGTATGTATGTATGTATGTATGTATGTATGTATGTATGTATGTATGTATGTATGTATGTATGTATGTATGTATGTATGTATGTATGTATGTATGTATGTATGTATGTATGTATGTATGTATGTATGTATGTATGTATGTATGTATGTATGTATGTATGTATGTATGTATGTATGTATGTATGTATGTATGTATGTATGTATGTATGTATGTATGTATGTATGTATGTATGTATGTATGTATGTATGTATGTATGTATGTATGTATGTATGCATGCATGTATGGATGTATGGATGTATGTGTGTGTGCATTCATACATGTCCGCATGCTTGCATGTTTGCATATGTACAAAACAAGCATGCATACATGTATAAACAGGCAAACATATATGTATATGCAAACTTATAACATCATCAAAAATCCCACCGAGGAAGCTTGGATTCTGCGGTGGGTCTATGAAAATGAGTTTGAGTCCGATTGGATGGTAAACCAAGAAGTTTCATACAAACGTTTTTCACGATTTTTCCACACATGCGAGTGGAATTTCCCGAAACCCCGTCTTAACGTGCACCTTCATCACATAAGGTAATTACAGTAAAAACTTTACCTTCCTAGATCTTACGGCTTACGGTATTCATTCAGACAGTCAGTCATTCAGTCATTCAGTCAGGAAAAACAGTTTTTATATATAGAGATATACTTAACTGACATTTATATCTGAACGCAGGACTAACTAGCGCAGGTCGCCGGTTCAAATTCAGCAGCAATTAGCAATTTTAAGAATTATTCCATTAACTCAAGAA